GAGCGATGCCCCGGGAGATCATCACCCTGCAGCTGGGCCAGTGCGGCAACCAGAGTGAGCGAGCGAGCACCCGCCTTTCCCCCTTTTCCTCCCATGAAACGACACCCCCACCCCCCACCCCAACCCTCCTGCGCATGATGGTCCGAACCCCAAAGAGCGCCGCTTCTCCAGCCCTGGGTCGTGACGACTCACTGAGTGTGACAGCTGCTGAGCCCGACCCTGAGCTCACGAGACTTTAAGGCTCTAGCAGACCCAGGTGTCTCCATCTCCTCTCTCCGCTCCCATCCCCCTCCCCCCAGTTGGGTTCGAGTTCTGGAAACAACTGTGCGCCGAGCATGGCATTAGCCCCGAGGGCATCGTCGAGGAGTTCGCCACCGAGGGCACTGACCGCAAGGACGTCTTTTTCTACCAGGTGCCCCCAGCGCCGCTAGTGGCCCAGGGGCACAGGAAGGGCAGGGCAGCGGCCTGGCTGCCGGCTGCTGGGCTTGGGCAGAGGGGTCAGGGCGAGAGCTGGAGGAGGGAGGGCAGGGAGCCGGCAGCCCTGCGCTGGCCTCACTGATGGGCGACCTCTGGCCTCGGCTCCACAGGCAGACGATGAGCACTACATTCCCAGGGCGGTGCTGCTGGACCTGGAGCCCCGGGTGATCCACTCCATCCTCAACTCGCCCTATGCCAAGCTCTACAACCCCGAGAACATCTACCTGTCAGAGCACGGAGGAGGAGCCGGCAACAACTGGGCCAGTGGATTCTCCCAGGTAGAGAGGCTGCCCTGGAGACCTTTGATGTTCCCTCCCTCGGGGCAAACAGCCTGGGGAGTTGGCAGGACCAGATTAACAATTAAAAAAAAAAAGACTTAATAGATCCCCTGCCAAGAGGGTTGGCTTAGGTGAGGTTGATTCAACGTTTATGCAAATCATTTGCAAAATACCAAGAGGGTGTGGGCAGGCCTAGTCTCTGGGTAGCGTTTTTTTTTTTTGGGGGGGGGGTGTCAGAAGACAGTACCTTCTCCTGGCCCCTCCTTCCCCTGTCTCGAACCACAGGGAGAGAAAATTCATGAAGACATTTTTGACATCATAGACCGAGAAGCGGATGGAAGTGACAGCCTAGAGGTGAGGGTCTGTTCCACTTCACTGGAGGGGCCAGGGAGGGGGTGGGAGGCTGGAAAAAGCTGGCAGAGAGGTTAGAGGGGGCTGAACAGATGGCATCATGGGCTGGGGGCTCATTAACCATTTTAATGAGCATCATATGGAACATGGAGATGTAAATAAGGGCGAGCCGTGCCCTGGTGAAGGTCCTAATCTGGCTGGCATTAGCTCCGCAGGCGGGAGATTTCCTTCCCGAGGAGCCCGGGATGGAACGAGGAAGCCTGCAGCCATGAGTGTGTTGGGCCTAGGGCCGGGGCACTGAGACAAGCCTGTAGCCTGCCCCCCTCCCTGGAGATTGCCTCTGGGTTCCCCCCCATTGCAGGGCTTCGTGCTGTGTCACTCCATCGCTGGGGGGACAGGCTCTGGCCTGGGCTCCTACCTCCTGGAGCGACTGAATGACCGGTAAGCCTGCATGAGGGAGAGGCCACTGGCCTGTTCCCTTTCTCTCTCTCCGAGTGAAAGGCCTACCACTCTCCCCTTTGGGGTGTAGGTAGGAAGGGATCCTGGCTCTGGGGGACTCCAGAGGGAAAAGCTGTAGGGGAGGGGGTATCTTCAGGACCTGGAGCTAGAGGCTGACCCTTTCTGGTTTCCTGGGGACCAAAAACTCCATCTTCATGGCCTTGATTCAAGAACTAGGTGGCAGTGGGAAAGGAAATGACCTCTTGAGAGATGGACTCTGATGGGTTCCTTCCAATTCAGTGTATGCCTGCCCCTACCCAGGTACCCTAAGAAGCTGGTCCAGACCTACTCGGTGTTTCCCAACCTGGACGAGATGAGCGATGTGGTGGTCCAGCCCTACAACTCGCTGCTCACGCTCAAGAGGCTGACCCAGAACGCGGACTGTGTGGTGAGCACCAGAGGCTGGGGGAGGGAGTGGAGGCTGCGGCCAACCTCCCCAAACCAGCGCGCATACACGCCGCATCCAGAGAAGCCAGGTGCCACAGGGCCACAGGGCTGGTCCCAGTGGTCCCACAGATGAGACACGCAATTGGCAAGTGGCTGCGAGGCCCTTGCGTCAGTGAGACTTGAAAGAGCGATGGCCCTGCTCAGGCCCTGCTGGGTCTACTTAATGCTTCCTCATGCTTCTGCTCCCAGCCTCAGGGCTGACTCTTGCCACAACCTTCTCTAGCCACCCCAGCAAGGTCAAATTCCTGGGCACACATTTTCAGACTGGGACTCTAGCTTTATGTTTAACAGTTAATGTGGATCTCCCTCCCCTGGAGGGAGGTCCAGGTGAGGGGGAGATCATGCCCACTTGACTGTCTGGTGTTCAGAGACCCAGATGCATGTGGAAGAGAGAAAGACAGGATTCGGGGAGGGGGACAGGACAGGGAAGGGGCATGGAATGGGCCCACCCTTATATGCCAGATAATAGCAAAGTGTCTCACAGTGTTCTGGAGACAAGACTTTCCTTGGAAATGAATATATCTTCCAGTTTGGGAACTGGGGAGGGGGGGGCTAAGCTAATATACCTATTTCTTTGCCACCCCCCCTTTTTTTTTTTTTTTTTGCTTTTTTGGGTCACACCCAGCGATGCACAGTGGCTGCTCCTGGCTCATACACTTAGGAATTACTCTTGGTGGTGCTCGGGGGACCATATGGGATGCTGGGAATCGAACCCATGTCGGCCGTATGCAAAGCAAATGCCCTACTCACTGTACTATTGCTTCAACCACTGCCACCCCTTCCTAAAAATATGCTGTTCCCCTAGGTGGTGCTGGACAACACAGCCCTGAACAGGATCGCCACTGACCGCCTGCACATCCAGAACCCGTCCTTCTCGCAGATCAACCAGCTGGTGAGCCCCACGTGCAGGCGCCATCACACTCAAACCCCTCCTTGCCACTGTGCCAGCTCAGGCCCATGACACTCCCCCCAAACCCCCAGGTGTCCACCATCATGTCGGCCAGCACCACCACCCTGCGCTACCCTGGCTACATGAACAACGACCTCATCGGCCTCATCGCCTCGCTCATCCCCACGCCGCGCCTCCACTTCCTCATGACCGGCTACACTCCCCTCACCACAGACCAGTCGGTGAGAGCCACCCCCCGCGGGCCCTGAGCCTTTTCCTCCTCCCTGCTGGCCACCAGGCTCTGCACTCAGGGACAGGGATGGGCACCAACCGGCTCCCGGCCAGCTGCTCCTCTGGGCTCTGCCTGTGGTGCCCTGCGGGGCGGGGACTAGCTGGGGCTGCGGATGCTTGGATGCTGAGCAGAGAAGGACTGAGACTCCCCGCCACTCAGCACAGACCCAGACTATTCACTGATACTCACCCGGTGACACCCCCCACACACACACACACACTCACCACCCTGATTCTGAGGGGGGCCAGGGGTTGCCAACACTGCTTTGGTTGGTGTCCTGAGGGCTGGCAGGGCCCTGTGGCCTGCTCTCCCTCAGGTGGCCAGCGTGCGGAAGACCACAGTCCTGGATGTCATGAGGCGGCTGCTACAGCCCAAGAACGTGATGGTGTCCACAGGCCGGGACCGCCAGACCAACCACTGCTACATCGCCATTCTGAACATCATCCAGGGCGAGGTGGACCCCACCCAGGTATGGGACCCCTCCATTCACTCCTACTCAGGCCCTGTGGGTAGAGGAGAGGCCGCCCCCATCACAGCTGTATCCAACCAGGTCCACAAGAGCCTGCAGAGGATCCGGGAAAGGAAGCTGGCCAACTTCATCCCCTGGGGCCCCGCCAGCATCCAGGTGGCCCTGTCCAGGAAGTCTCCATACCTGCCATCAGCCCATCGGGTCAGCGGGCTCATGATGGCCAACCACACCAGCATCTCCTCGGTGAGCCTCCTGCTTCTTTTGGTCACCCTGCCACTAGCCACCTGCCTCATTCTCCCCTGTGCCAGGGCCTGGGACCCTCCATCCTGGACATTAAACTTTTAGTTGTTGTTGTTGTTTTCTGGGCTACACCTGAGAATGTTCAGGGGTTAGTCCTGGCTCTGCACTCAGAATTACTCCTGGCAGTGCTCAGGGGACCATATGGGATGCCGGGCATCGAACCCGGGTCAGCCACTCATGCAAGGCAAAGGCAAGCACCCTCCCTAATGGGCTATGGCTCCGGGCCCTGACATTTCCATTTCTTGCAGCTCTTCGAAAGCTCCTGCCAGCAGTATGACAAACTGCGGAAGCGGGAGGCCTTCCTAAAGCAGTTTCGCAAGGAGGACATCTTCAAGGAGAACTTCGACGAGCTGGACAGGTCCAGGGAAGTGGTGCAGGAGCTCATCGATGAGTACCATGCAGCCACGCGGCCGGACTATATCTCCTGGGGCACCCAGGGACAGTGAGTTCCCCCATCCCCACAAGCCCTGCTAGACAGGAAGCACAGCCACTTCATGCCTGTTCCTCTCACTCAGCTTCTCCACCCCAGTCACCTCTCTCGCCTCGGTTCCAGCCCAGGTCCTGGGCTTGCTTCGTCCCTTCCATGCCTTGCCTGAGATATGCTTGTGTAGCTCCAATAAATTTTAAACAAAATACAAAATTTTTCTGTTGTGAATAGTGTCAGCACTTGGTGTGTGGATATGGGGATGCTGAAGCCATCTCCATGTGTACCTCCCACCCCATTTCCAGGTTTATGGTTCCTGCTAGCTTACCTTGCCATCTCTTAGGGTCTCTTGCCTGGAATCAGGGTGGGCTGGCTGACCAGGTCTAGCCCTACTGTCCACATTCCACATGGTCACTGACAGTTGCTCTCCCACAAGTAGCTAAGTGTCTGGCCTAGGAAGGATCAGGGCTCTGGGGTGCCCTGGATGTATCCACCCAGGACAGAGGCTGGGGGTGGGGGTGGGAGCTCGGAGGAACTGGCCACATCCTGAGCAGCTCAGGAATGCTGAAACTCTGGATTCCCAGGCCCCTAGAATTCAGGAACTCAACCCAATTCAGCACTGCTGATGGGCAGGACTCTGTAGGGTTGAATCTTGCTTGATAAACTCTTTTATCTATACCCGAGACAGTCTTGGGCCCGTGCCCACTCCAGGTCCCAGGCAGTCGGCACACCAAAGGTGCAGCCAATCAGGGCCCAGAGCGGACCAGCAGGGCAGGAACTGGGTAGTGTCTGTCTGAGTGACTCACTGCTCTGGCCTCAGGGACGCCAGGAGGCCACCTCTGCCACCCCAGGGAGAAAGGCGGGTGATTGCCAACTTCTAGCCTGCCTGCTTGCCTGCCCCACCCACCTCCCCAACAGCAGCACACAGGCCAGGAGGGGGTTAAATCCAGAAGGTCAAGGAGGGTGGGGCCCAGTGTGTCCTGACTCCCCTCGAGTGCGGCTGCTGTGGCTGCGTGGGTGTCCCCCGGGGTGGAGCGCAGAGCTGTGGGGCTCCAACTTGTCCCACTGACAACACTCCCACAGGAAGGACTTGTGTAAATAAGGATTTTTCTCGTCGTTGTTGCTTTCTCTTCTACAAATAAATTAAGACACAAACTAGAAAATTGTCTGCATCCATTGCAGCCGTGGGGTGTGGGGTGCGCCCTGTCCCTGCAGGGCCAAATGTGTCCATAGTTCCCTCCAATCTCAGAGCGGTCCAAGTCCAGGCCCCAGGCAGGAAGAGGTCGTGACCTCTTGGCAGGCTGAGTCCTGCAGCTGCCCCAAACAGCCAGACTGTCCCTGGGGCGCGTCCAGGCCCGGGCGCTGGCTGGGAGGAGAGGTGTCTGACGGATCTTGGCATGGAGAAGAGCCGCTGCGAGGCCTCTCGGGCGAGAGGTTGGCCAAGTAGGCATTCACCAGCTGCATGATCTCTCCCACCTGAGGGGGGGGAGCAGAGGGCAGAGGTCAGAGGGCATCAGGGGCCATGGGCTTCTCATCTCATCCTCCACTCGCTGGTGTCAGACTCCTTCCCGAGGCCTGACTGCTGCCCCTTCTCAGCACCACCTCCCCCAGCTTGCTCAGTGCCAGTCACACTCTCTTCTTTCTGTTCCGCCAAGTTTATTCTCATCTCAGAGCCCTGGCGCTCACAGCTCCCTCTACCAGGAATGCCCTTTGCCCACATCTTCCCCATGGCTAGCTCAGCTGTCACCCTCTGAATATCCTTTCCCGACCGTCCATCCTGCCCAGCGCTACTTTGCTGTGGTGTCTTGATTCCCCAGCTCTCATGGAAACTCTCAGAGCCTAGCTTTGAACCTGGTGGGGTCCCCAGGAACTGGCCCCGATTCAAGGTTTATTTTATTTTTTTATTTTTTTGCTTTTTGGGTCACACCCAGCGATGCGCAGGGGTTACTCCTGGTTCTGCACTGAGGAATTGCTCCTGGCGGGGGACCATGTGGGATGCTGGGAATCGAACCTGGGTCGGCGGTGTGCAAGGCAAATGCCCTACCCACTGAGCTATCACTCCAGCCCCGAAATGGTGTTTTTTTTTTTTTCCACACCCAGTGGTGCTCAGGGCTGGCTCCTGGCTCTGCACTCAGGGCTCACTCCTGGCAAGCTCAGGGGATCATATGGGATGGTGGGAATCAAGCCCCAGGCAGGTGGGCCTCACGCAAGGCAAGCACCCGACACGCTGTACTATCAGTCTGGCCCCTGACAGGTTTCTTGGCTGATCCTCCCCCTCCTCCTCCTTCAGCCCTCCGGCCCCTTCCCACTCACCTGGGGACTCTGGAGGAGGAGCTGGCTCTCTCCCACCCTCAGCGCCAAGGTGTGGGGGCCCATTAGGTGGCAGGCGGCCACGTGGCCATAGCTGACACTGTGGATGGGCTCGGTCTCACCAGGGCGGGAGAGGGACATGGCCTTGGCTCCCAGGCCCAGGCAGAGCTTCTGTGGAGCGCCCCCATCAGGCTCCTAAGAGAAACAGGCTGAGTCAGGGTGCAAGGAGGGGCTCCCGGGAGGCAGCCGCGGGGTGGGGTGATGATGAAGGGGCAGGGTCCTGATCCTCCCTAAGACCCACCGTCCTCCCTCTGTGTGCAGGGACTGGGATTTGGTGAGGAGCGGGCTCAAGGGTCGTGAGCTGAGTAGCTAGCTGGTGGCTGTGACCCTCAGTCGGGGCCAGTGGCTCTGGGGCAAAGGTGTGGGGCTTGGGCCTCCAGAGTCCCCATCTCCCTTCTCCCCCTCACCGTGCTCAGCTCCAGAACGTCATACCGAGCAGCGCCGAACCCTGGGCACTGCGCCGCCAGGGCCAGGTAGGCAGCCATGGCCTCAGCTCGGCCCATGCCCCGGAGCCGCTTCCAGCCGCCCAGGACGGCTGCCGCGGTGCCGGCGCCCCCGGCTCCCTCGCGGGCCGCGCCGTCCGCCGCGCCGCCCGCGCCGCCGCGCCGGGCCCGTTCCGCCCGCCTCTTGGCCAGGCCCGGGCTCCAGATCGCCCCGGCCAGCAGGGCGGCGGAGGGCGCGGGTCGGGGCAGCGGGCGGGGAGGGTCCCCGCGCGGCGGCGCGGGCGGCGGCAGCAGGCAGTCGAGGCGCGGCAGGGGCGCCCGCGGGGAGAAGTCGCGGTGCAGACTCTGCAGGCGCAGCGCCGCCAGGGCGCGCAGCGTGTCGTCGGGTGGGGGCGGCCGGCCGCGCAGCAGCAGGGCGTGAGCCTGCGGGGGGTGGGAGGGAAAGCAGCGGGGGTCAGCCGCGGGGCGGGGTGGGCTCCACGTCGGGATGCGTGGAAGCCAACGCCCGCGAGGCGACGCTCGGGGCCGTCGGGGCAAGGGAGGGGGCCCAGGGTCGGGGATGGGATGGGGGGAGCCACACCTGCTCAAAGAGGAAAGGCAGCTCGTGACCATGCGGGGACAGCCCCTCTGGGTGCAGAGGCCCGTGGAGACGCAGACACAGTCTCCAGCCCGAGTCCAGCGGGTCTTCCACCCCGGCGTCTTCCGCAGCCAAACTGCAGAAGAGAAAACGACGCGTACTCCAATCAAAGAGGGTCCCCAAGTTCCCCATCAGGGCACTGGCGAAAGTTGGGGGGGAGGGGTCCGGGAGAGAGCCAGAGGGGACAGGCCCGGCCTGTTGTTTGGCGGTGGGACTGGGGGCCGCCGAGTCAGATCGCAAACCGAAGGCGGGCAGGACTGCCCCTGGGAACCCGCGACCAGACAACTGCGCCGCACACGGCAGGTGCAGCAGAAACTCTTTTTTTTTTCGTGACGGACCGAAGCTGAGAGGCAGGAAGGACTAACGGGGAGCAGGGCTGGGTCTGGACATTTACTTCTCAAACCTGGTGAGCACGTCGGCCACGAGGGTTCCCCCAGCCAGGGCTCGCTCCTGCGCCCCTCGCTGCTCGTACAGAGCAAATGCGTTGCGACTCCGGGCCAAGCCCAGCCTCCCCACCAGCTCCCGAGCAACCTGGAGGGGAAAGGGTGGGGATGGGGGAGAGTGGGAGCGACCGCGCCGGCGACCCTCCTGTGCTTCCCCGGGGGCTGAGCCCACTAGGGGAATATTGCGGGTCTCTCCATCCGGCCACCCTCCCCCCCCCCCCATTTCCTAGACGTCCAATCTCCGAATGGAGAGAAGGGACGTGGGGGGGGGGGGCGCACTCTCGGGGGAACTGGGAGCTGCGGGTTTCTCTCACCTCCCCCGCTGTGGTGTGGGAGTCTATGGCCACAGGGCAGGCGCCGGCCCCCGGACAGTGCACCGTGCACAGCAGCTCCTGCCGGCGGCTCAGCGCGGAAATCTCCGCCAGCGACGGCACCAGCTCCCGGCCGCGCGTCCTGCCCAGCGCCTTCCGGATGAAGCGCGCGTATTCGGCCAGTTCCGAGTCCGGGAGCGCCTGCTCCGTCCTTGGTCAGACAGAATCCGAGGCTCAGCGCTCCCACAACGCTACCCCGCTCGCCCTCTCCCCACCCCCACACTCGCCTTCTTGCTTTATATATGTATATATATATTTTTCCCGACTATTCTCTCCCCTCCAACTCCTGTTTAAGGCAGCCACCTGCTCTCCTAAAAAGCTGAAGTTACCTAGATCCCTGCAGCCTCTCCTGAATCGGAACCGCCCCTCCCAGCTTCCCCACATCTTGCCTTTCAAAACCAGCCACATTCCCTTATTTCCTCCTTTATTTCTTTGGTTCCAGAGATGGAACTTAGGGCCTTTGCACAAGTGCGCCATGTGAACTCGACTACCCCCGTTCGGCATGCTCCCCTTTCCAACATCATTCTGTTTGTTTCTTTGGGGACCACATCGAGAGATGCGCAGGGGTTACTCCCGGCTCTGTGCTCAGGAATCACTCCTGGTGGGGCTCAGAGACCCCAAGGGGCACTGGGGATCGACCCTGGGTCTGCCGCGTGCTATATAAATGCCCTCCCCGCTGCACTCTCTGTCCGGAAGCTCTCCCCTTTCTAACCTAAAAGCCCCCCAACCTTGGCAAAGCTGCCTTTTCTTTATCCTCTGCCCAAAGGGGGCGCCCTTCTGCAATTCCTCCGCCTGCGAGCGGGCTCTGGTTTTGTAATTGCCACAAAGGCGCTACAGATCGGCGGCGGCCCTGACCTTGGGTAAGTCCCCTCCCTTCTCTAGGTCCCAGCGCGGTGTCCGCCAAGCTCTTTGGAAAGGCTCGTGCGTCCCTCCCCGCCCCACAGCACCCTGGCCTCGGTCTAACCCCGCCCCTCCCCTCTCACCTCTCCAAGTGCCCCAGGAGGTGCCCCCGGACGGCTCCCCCTGGCCGGAAGGTGCAGCTCATGCAGGTGAGGAGCTGCCAGTACCGTAGGGCGGCGGGGTCGCGCGTGGCCGGGGGCCCAGGGGGGCCCGCGGGGCCCGAGGTCTGCTTAGCCAGCTGCAGGAAGAGTTCGTCGCGGAGCGCAGGCAGGTCTCGGCAGGTCTGGAGCACACCCTGCATCAGGGGCCCGGGGCGCCGCGCCCCCTCCAGCGCCTGCAGCGCCAGGAACAGCCGCACCGCCTCCTCGCGCAAGGGCGCGTAGCCGGGACCTGCGGGAGGGTGGGGCGGAGGGACGGTTTGGAGAGGGAGCCCAGAGCGCGGGCCCTGGGAGGAAGGAGTGAACCGGAGGAAGGTCAGGGGGAGTGTAAGGGACAGGGTGGAGGGGAGGGTGCGAACAGGCTGAGTGAAGGATGGAAAGCAAAGATTCCCCAGGGCCAGCCTCTCAGCCCTACCTCGGGGAAGCCCGCCCTCGGCGGCCAAGAGGGCTGGACTTTGCAAAAGGAAGGAAGGGGGACAGACCCGGGCAGATTTGGTCACTGAGCAGTGAACATCCTCACCAGCGCCCAGAAAACCAGCTAGGCGGGGAGTCAGAAAACCAGAGTTCTTTTCCCAGCTCTCTTTAATCCTCTAGTTTGGGGTCTGGGCCAGTCCCTCTTCCCTTTGGGGGAAGAGTATGACTGACTGAGGCCAGCACAATCTTCAGCCACTTGTAAAGGGGTCGTGAACTGGTCTTAAGAATATCCCACAGATCTGGACCAGAGAGAGCACCGTGGGTAGGGCACTTTCCTTGCAGGGGGCTGACCTGGGTTCCATCCCTGGCAACCCACATGGTCCCCCAAGCACCACCAGGAGTAACTCCTGAATGTAGAGCCAGGAGTAACCCCTGAGCATCACCAGATGGGTGACTCCAAAACAAAAACAAACGAACAAAAATGAGAATCCCACTCCTCCCCGCTGGCTCTCAGTCCCAGCAGCTTCAGTTTCCTCTTTATCCTTTGAAAGGTGAGGGGCTGAGTGGGCCCCCCAGAACTCCTGGGTCCCCATTAAGAAACACGCAAGATTTTTTTCTCTGATCCACCTCCCTCCCACCCTGGGGGCTCCGGCCAGATGGGGGATCAGGCTCGGGTACCCACTCACCTGGGGAACTAACGCCATAGGGCAGGGGCAGGAGGGGTGCATACAAGGCCCCATTGGTGTGCCTCAGAATCGGGTTCCGGTGGTAAATGAGGGCCACGGCCTCGGGGTCGCCACAACTCTCCTAGAGGCCAGGGAAAGGGTTGCAGTGATAAGAGAGCAGGGTTCTGCCTCAACCCTGAACGTTTCTGGGTCCTCCGCCCACCCACTTCTTTCCCGCTTCCGTTGCCCCCTCTCACAAACCTGAATGTCCCTGAGAAGCAGCTGAGTGGGGGTCTCCAAGGGCGCCTTGGAGGCGATCACTTCCCGCAGTGCCGCCCCCCAGCGTTCAGCCTCTGCCTGGCGTGGGGAGCAGAGCCGGACGCTGTGCTTCCGGCCAGACACGGTCACTGACCACAGACCTGGGGCAAAGAGAGGCCACAGAAGGTGATGAGGGAGGGCTGGGGCCCCTACCGCAGAGGGCAGGCGAGTGCCCATGAAGTCTCACCCGTCTCCTTGGGCCTGCGCTCAGGGCCGGTCACAGAACACAGGCTGGTGAGTACGAGGCTCCCCAGGTGGCGCGCCCCCTTCCCGCTGCTGCTGAATTGGTCCAGGGATTCCCGCGTGAGCACGAACCAAGCCCTGCGCGGGGGCAGCCAAGGCCTTGCAGCTCCTGCCCGGGGCTCTCGGTACAGCCAACCTGGAGGAGGAGGTGGAGGGATAAGTGATCAGTGGAAGAAACCGCCAGCTGGAGGGTTTGGCTTGGGGTCCTCCAGAATGCACGAAGGGGGCCCCCACCTTTCACAACGACGTCCGGGTCGTCCTCCAGAAGCCCCTTCTCTGGGATGAGGCTGCGCGTCTCCTCCCAGCTCTGCAGCCTGGGCCAGAGGGGGGGGGGGGGCGAGGCTGCTGATCCTGCACTCCGCCTCCAAGGGGCGACCCCAGAGAGGGTCCCCAGAGTGAGAGGGGCGCCTGGTCCCAGGCTGGGCACTCCTCCCCCCAGACTGTGGGAACCGCCGGGCCATTCTGACCTCACACCAGAAATAGCCTGGACCCCCCCTCTTCCTCCCTGTGCCCCCAGCAGGACCGCCCCCCGGGACCCTGGCCAAACCACAGCGTCCGGCAGCGTCAGGCCCCTCCCTTGTTGCACAACGAGCTAGGGAAGACAGCGAGGATGGGGGTCCCAGCCACTGCGCGTCTCAAGATCCCAAGACAAGGAGGGAGGCGGGGCTTACCTGTCCGAGACCTGCGAGCCCCTCCCGGGCTGAGTCAGTGTCACATCCAGGGGCCCCTGTGGAAGAAGGCGGGGCAGCCCTCAGAATCGGAGCCCTCCTGGGGGTTAGGGGAACGCCTGTGGCTTTCGCCCCCGCCTCCCGGACGGCGAACTGCGCTGCGCAGGAAACTGAGGAATCCCAGTGGCTGAAGTGGAGAGAGCTGAAGGCGCTGGCCTGGCCCCTTCCGCTGCTCTCTGCCTAACAGCCGAGCTCAGAAGCCCCGCTGGTCCCTCACCTCCGTTACCCTCTGAAGCTGCAGGCAGGGCTTGGGCAGGGACGGGAGACCTGGGTTCCATGCCAGCTCAGCCTCGAACTCCTGGAGCAACCTTGGCAGCCCCTCCCATCTTCCCTTCAGTGGTGGGAGGGTGGTCCGGTGGGGGAAAATCCAAGGTGAGTGAAGGGGAGAGGGACCCCTTCAGCGCAGGGTTTTCTCCAAGTGCTCCTCATGTCCCCCAGCCCCCGATACCCCTTAGAGTAAAGGTGAGCAGGGCCCCTGGCCTCCCTGAGCTCAGGAAGTGTGGGCTAGGCTGAAGAGTGGTGCTGAGTCTCCAGGGGAGGGGACGACTGGGGGTCCCCCCCATGCCCTGGAACTTTAACTGTACTCTGGGGTCTGAGAAAGGCCTCAGATGAGTCCAGGAGCCAGGGCAGGCGGACACCATGCCATGGTCCCTGCACCCAGACAGCTAAAGCCAGGAGCGGGTGGGGGACAGGGGGCAAGGAACACCTGTCCCAAGCTCCCGGGGAGGGGGGGGGTGGAGCATGAGGGAGGCCATGGGCTGGATCTTGGAGCCGACCCTGCCTTGAGAAAGGCTTGGGAACTCTTGAGCCCTGTGATTTCCCAGGGTGTAGACCCACCAAGCTTTGGGGGGGTGTGTGTGAAAGGGGTGCTCAGCCACACCACCACGGGGGTGGCCCACTTTCCTAGACCGCCTCCCCTAATCGCAGTCCCCTGCTGCCTTCCCTCCCCCCCTCTATATTTATCCGCCCTCCGCCTCCGCCAGGTGCTGGCTCCGGCCCCAGCGCGCAGCCTGCCCCACCCGGGCACGGAGCCACCAGGCCTGCTGCGGACCCCTGAGCGGGGGAGGGGAGCCTGACCCAGGCCGCCTCACAGAGCTTCTGGATGGGGGTGCAGAAGCACCAGAGGGGGATGTCAGGGGACCGAAGCCTCCTGCACCAGCCCAGCCTCAGTTTCCCCACCGGGAGAACCGACCACACCGGGATCGTGTCTCTCCACACCCCCCTTCAAGTCTGCCCAGGAGCCTCACCAGGGCGGGTGGAGAGCTGGGTCCTGCGCAGCAGGTCAAAGACGAGAAGCCCTCGAAGAGCTGTGGCCCCCAGCTCCCTCTCCGTGTCCTCGCCCCCAACCCCAAAGCGAGGATGCCTTCTCCCCCTCGCCCAGGTCCCTGCGGCGGGAGCTCCCGCATCTGGCACCTGCGCTCGGCGCTCACGAACTGGGAGCGGAGCGGACCCAGGCGACCGAGCCGCCCAGCCGGCCTCGCCACATTCCTCGGCGCTGGCGGAGGCGGAAGGAGACGGGATGGGACGCGGGCCCGGCGGGGCAGGGAGAGGCAGGGCCAGGTCGGGCCACGCGAAACGCCGCCCCTGCCTCCGGGGCCCCAGCAGGTGGACAGCAACCCGCGCGCAGCGCGAGGCCCACAGGCACAGCCCAAGCACGCCTGCTCCCGGAGCTCCGCGGGGTGGGGGGCTCCGAGCTCCCCCCTCCCGCCCCGCAAAACCCTCTCCCGCGGTCTCGGGCGTGCTGGAGCGCTGCGCGCGGGGCCCGAGTCCCGCAGCTGAACAGGAGCGGGCGTGACGCTCGGTGGTAGCGAGACGAGGCTTCAACCCCCCTGGGACTTACCCTCCCTCCGCCCGCTGGACTCGGGGTCCGCAGCTCAAAGGTCTCCTCGTCCTCGTCCTCGTCCCCGTCCCCGCTAAGCTCGCCGTCCCCGTAGTCCCGGTGCAGAAGAGTGAACCCTCGACGGCAGCAGAGGAGCCACCACAATCCCCCGGGGAGAGGCATCCGGGCGAGCAGCCGGGGGATGGGGGCGCGGGCAGCGGGGCCGAGCTGCAGGGGGTCAGGGAAGGTGGCGGTGCTCCGACCCCCGAAGGGGGTGGGGGAAAGATGAGGCTGGAGAAGGAGGCGTACGGAGGAGGCAGTGTCTGGCGCTGGGGTGCAAGGAGTCGCTCGCTAGAACCCGCAAGGGGCTCAGTGCCTGGGCCCCCGGAGGGGGAGGGGGAAAGGCGTCCAGGGCCCGGAGGGGGGGGGGGGGGAAGGAGGGAGCAATGTCCGGAGCTGGGAAGTAGTGTCCGTTGTAGTGTCCAGCCTTGCGGGGGGCAATGTCCGGTGCAGTGTCCGAGGTGGGCAGTGGTCCAAGCTCCAGGGAGGACTGTGTCCGGCAGGGCGTCCGGTGGCCGGGGCCCGGGCCGCGCGTGCTGCGCTCCCTGCAGCCCCGGGACTGGCGCGCTAGGAGCACAGCGCCGGGACCCCGCCTCCCCACCCCCTGCCTGCCGGGTGGGCCCCCCCCCCCTTCCCTCTTCTTTCTCTCCTCCCTTCTTCAAGGGGCAGGGCCTAGTCTTCGTCACGGTCCCTCTGCCCAATCTCTGTGCCTGGCGCCGGGAGCGGCCACCAATCACACGGCCAAAGCCGCGGTGGGTTGCATCATGTGCCCCTGGCTCGGTGACAGCGGGGAGGGGCAGGGGAATAGGCAGGGAGGGGGCGGTACCCTTCGAGCCGCGCCCCAATCACTGAGGTCAGTCGCGGAGTGCTGGCGACGTCACGGAAGCCCGCCTTCACGCTCTGCTTTTAACCCTTGGCGTGCCAACCCACCGATTAAAAACCCTTTGGAGAACCCGGGGCGGGCCCCGACGACTGCTTTTTGAACCCCTTGTCTGGTCTCAGGGTCCCGGAGAGCGGACCGGGTCTCAGTGCCCGAAAGTGCCCAGACCCGCGCCGGACACAGCGCCGGAGGTGGCTTTTCGCCCCTGCGTGAAGGAGTCCAGCCCCTCCGTCTGAGTCACCTCCTTTCTGGAGTGGAGAAGCTGAGGCAGTGACTCCGGAAAAGAGAAATAGTTTGGATTTTTTTTTCTCTTCGCGTAGTAAAATCGAATGCCGAGCGCACGGCCCGCTGAAATCCAGTGGGGGAGAGTTGTGCCTCGGGCGTCTGGGGGACTGGGGGCTTGCTCTGGAACGGGAGCCGCGCAGAGAGCACGTCCCGGGTGGGAAGGGGTTAACCCGGGCGCCGAGGGGGCGGGGCCGGGCCGCGGGCGGGCGGGGCCAGGGCGACCTCGGGCGCGCTCGAGTGTTGCTGACTCAGCGGCTCTTCCCGCGGTCTCCGGTGGCCCGTTCCAGGTCGGCCCCGCGGGGCTGGCGCGTTGGGCTCCTCTGAGGATCGGGGCCATCTCCGGGCCTCTTCTGCACCCTCGCCCGCTAGGGAGCCGGTGGCCCTCGGTCACGGCCGCCGGAGACTCCTGGAAAAGGCGAACCCCAACTGGGCGGGGTGGGACCGGGCGGGGACAGCGGGACAGCGCCTCCCCGGAGATCTCCCCGACACGCCCCGCCCTTCTTGCCCCGGGTCCTCACCCTCTGGGCTGGAGGGTGCACTGGGCAGCCTCGCTGACCGGATATTAAATTGAGAGAGCTGTCGCACGGGAACACCATCTTGTCTGTCGTGAGTGTGTAAAACAAAGACCAGGGATCAATAAGATTGATGGCTCTCGAGGCCCATCCCCGCCCCTGGCCGCAGATGAAAGGAGCTTCCTCAAGGATAGAAATAACTCCATCACACATGTACTCTCATCCCCGTTGGGATCCCAGCCCCTGGCCTGCAGGAAAGTTCTTTCCGAAGTCTAACCTCTCTCTTTCCGGAATGCTCCGTGCATTTCCTATGAGCCGGCCCCCGGCAAGATGGAAAGCAGCGGTCACCCCGCCACGCCCAAGATAATGACTTGGAAATGTGCAAAGTGGAATTCTCCAAGGTGAAAAAAAAAGTCTTCGACTTCTTTTTCCCCCCCTTTCCACTACAGGACCGTGGAAAGGGTTGCCAAATGGTCACAGAATCAGAAAGCCCACCCCTTACAGGACTGTCCCGCCCGCATCCTTCCCCCTCCCCCCCTCCCCCCCCCCCCCCACCCCCGGTACCGTGCACAGGCGCACTCAGTCCCCTCGGCCTGAGCCCCACCGTTCCACCAAAGGCGGCCTTGCCGGAGTGCGCTCGTGTTGTTAGAAAGCTCTCCCTTGCACCGTTTCAGGAGGGACCCCCGCGCCTCCTGGCTGGCAGCCTTCCCACCTCACCTCTGCCGGCATGAAACAGGGTGGAGGAGGGTATCCGTGGCCCGGGCTTCAGCAGGCTCGGCAGCCCCCCACCTCCCCCTAGGCTCGCAGCACTTTCCGCTCGGAGTCAAAAACGGGGGAGGGGGAGGAGGGGAACCCGCCGCCCCAGCGCTGTTACAAATCACTTCCAAGCCAGGAACTCAAAAATAGTAACAGTTGTTGGGTTGCATCTCATTTCCATATTCTCAACGTTCAGGGACCGGGTCCAGAAGCGATTCAGTCAGGTCTCGACGACCACTTTCTCGTTCAACCCCCACCCCCACCGCCGCCCCCGCCCCACTCCCCTTTCCAGCTCCCCCACCCCACCCCACCCCCATCCCCGCTGGAATGACTTCCTCGGCCCGCCCCCTCCTCTGGATTCGCGGCCCTAGTTGTCCGTGAAGGAGACACTGTGGGTCTCGGTGGCAGCCGAGCAGGAAGAGAGGCGGGGCCGGCGGGGGCAGCGGCCGCCCGAGTGAGACCCCCGGCGGCCGCCCCCTCCCCGCAGCAGCCGCCGCAGATCCTGGCGGAAGCGCAGGCCCAGGAAGGCGTAGAGCACGGGGTTGAGGCCGCAGCGGGCGAGGGCCAGGCCCCCGGTCACCAGCAGCGCCAGGTCCTTGCGCTTGCTGGCCGTGCAGCTCCGCTCCCGCGCCGCCAGGAGGTCGGCCGTGTCCAGGAGCAGGGCGAGGCTGTACGGCAGCTGCAGCACCACGAAGGCCGCCACCAGCGCCACGACGACCCGCAGCGCGCGCCGGCGCTCGGGCCCCCTGGCGGCCAGCAGCGTGCGGCCCAGGAGCGCGTAGCAGGCGACCATGACGCCCAGCGGCAGCGCGAAGCCCAGGGCCACCTGCGCCACCGCGCTCGCCCCCTTCACCGCCTGCGTCAGGCCCTCGGGGAAGATGAGGCGGCAGCGCCGCTGGCCTTCCCTCCGGCTGTCCTGGCTGTACAGGAGAGCGGGCAGCGCCAGGAGCAGGGACAGCAGCCACACGATGCCCGTGACCCAGTGTGCCCCGCGGGGTGAGGAGGGCCTGGATCTGGCGGGCAGGGCCCGCGCGATGGCCACGTAACGGTCGGCGCTGATGCAGGCGAGGAAGAGAAAGCCGGCGTGGAAGGAGGCCGAGTACAGGCCCGAGATGAGCTGGCAAGCGATACTCCCCAGGCTCCAGCCCCACAGAGACCCTGCAGCAGCGAAAGGCAGGGTCAGGGCCAGCAGAAGGTCGGCCAGGGCCAGCTGGAGCAGGTGGGCAGAGGTTGGCGAGCAGGCAACCTTCTGGGCTGCCAGGTGGGTGGCCAGAACCAGCCCATTGCCCGCCAAGCCCAGAGCAGCCACTATGAGTGTGACACTGGGCTGGAAGGCACGGCTGAAGGCCTGCACGTCCTCCTTGTGACAGAGCTCTGGCAAGGACCACTCCAAGTACGCAGTCTCATCTTCCCCGGAGTAGGGGCCCCAGGAGACCTGGGGAGGTCAGAAGGAGAAAGATTGATGACGTCTTCCCCACTCCTCCCCCAGAGCCCCTGTGTTCCATGCACAACAGGCCAGGGAAAGAAAACTTACACTGCGTAGCCCTCAACCTGCTGGGAGCTTCCCTGGGCACCCCTCCTGCCTCCACTGCTAGCTTCCAGGGGACCTCGAGCAAGCTGCCTGCTCCCTCTCCATAGCAGTTGCCTGATACATAATGTATAGATAACCGATCTGGACCAGCCCACTGCCTGATGGTTTGGAAGATAAGCAGTTACAAATAAGAAAGATATGGGGCTGGAGCGATAGCACAGCAGGTAGGACATTTGCCTTGCATGCGGCCAACCCAGGTTCAATTCCCAGCATCCCATATGGTCCCTCAAGCACCACCAGGAGTAATTCCTGAATGCATGAGCCAGAATTAACCCCTATGCATCACCAGGTGTGACCCAAAAAGCAAAAAAAAAAAAAGATAGGATCAGGAGAAGTAGTACAGCAGGTAGGGCGTTTGCCTTGCACAAAGCTGACTAGGGCTCAATCCCTAGCACCACACATGGTCCCTGGTACCCCCTATGAGCACCACCAGGAGTGACCCCTGAGTGCAGAGTCAGGAGAAAGATGTGCATAGCCAGAGTGGCCCACCCCCCAAAAAAAAGAAAAATAAGAAAACTATCCATTGTTATGAAGCATCTGATCCTCCACACTGCAGCGGTATTATTAATAAATTCTGGTGCTAGTGGCTCGCCTCTGCTGCGCCCTCTCCTGGACAAACACCCAACATGCAGGTTGAAAGTTTCGGTCCCTCTTTTCCTCACTCCACCCAGCCCAACCTCCACAGGGTTGGTGCTCAAATTATTCCGGCTGGGTTGGGACTTTGGATCTCTAGGTTCAGTTTTCCCTTCCAGTCCCCCACCCCCACATTTCCATCACTACCTCAACTATACAGAACCCGGTTTCAAATAACTCTAGGCATCCCGGTTAGGTCAGGGGATGCCAGGCCTGCTGCTAGGTGGAGAATCCCATCCGTCACCGCACACCCCCCCCCCCCAATTCTCCCTCAGGACCCCCCTCCTACCTGCTCTGCGGGTTCTGTCCCCATCTCTGGTTAGTGGGTTTTTGAAGTATAGCCACTGGGGGGAGAGGTTTAACCAGTGGGACAGGAAGGAAGGGGCGGGGAGAAAGACTAGGCAGGTGGGGCTGGGTTTAGGGTCTATAGGTCCTTTATTTAACTTTTCTATTCCACCACCCTGTTTTTTTTGTTTGTTTGTTTATTTCAGCGCCACACCAGCAAATGTTCAGAGCCTACTCCTGACTCTGCATTCAGGAATCATTCCTGGTGATGCTCAGGGGACCATGTGGGATGCTGTGGATCGAACCAAGGTCAACAGCTTGCACGGCAAATGCCCTAACAACTATACTATCACTCCTGCCCCCAATCACCCCCTTTTTCTTTTTTTACCCTGCTGAAAAGCAATGGGTTTGGGAATATCCTCATTTACTAGCTACATTTATAATCTTGAGTGAAGGTTCTTTTTTTTGGGGCGGGGGGGGGGTGGAAGCATATTTGGCTGGGCTCAGGGGACCATATGAGATATTGGGGTCAGCTGTGTACAAGACAAGCACGTCCCTGCTGGCTCTACTCTCTGGCCCTCTGAGTAAAGGTTTTTGGCCTCTCTGAACTTTAGGGGTTTTTTTTTTTAATTTGAAACTAGAGAAACAATCAAAAATGTTGGATTCGGGCTGGGGAAGTGGTTCGGCAGCAAAAGTGCCTTGCATGCATGAGATCTGGAGTCCGTCCCCAGTAGTGACAGGGGAAAAGTGGGAGCAGCATTCAGAGGACGGTGCCTAGCACAGGTGTCTGCGGCATAATTTGCTCTTAGAAGATAAAGTGTTAATATACATATTTTTTTAACTTACTCTCCTCCCATTTTCAGGTTTTCCCTTCCCTCTTTCCTTTTCTTGGTCCCCAGGTGACCTTTGCCTTCCCTGCCAGCCTCGGGTTAGTCAGGGTATTTCCCGGCGGCTGTTGGCTCTGTCCCCCCACCCCACCCCCACCCCCGCCCTTTCGCGACAGGGCTGAGACGCGCGCTTGCGCGGGGTCCAGGAGAGAGGCTGGGGAGGGGGGAGGTGAGAGGAGAGAGGGTGGAAGGGAGCGGGGAGAGGACCACGGAGAATCTGGAGCGTCAGAGGGAGAAGAAGGAGAAGGGTTAGGGGAGCGAGGAGGAGGAGAGGGGCCGAGGAGGAGAGATCAGCCGCGAACCATACCCCCTCCCCCCAGAGGCGAGCTGGGAGCCCTGGAGAAGCTGGGCACCTGGAGGCAGCCCCGACCCTGCGCCCTGCGCGATGCGGCTCCGGCTCTTCTGCATCCTGCTGGCCTGGGTGTCGGGAGCCTGGGGCTGGGGCTACTGTGAGTGCGGGGCTGGGAGGCCGGCAGGACTGGGCCCGGGAGGCGGCAGCCTGCAAGGGCGGGTACCGCACCGCATTGCGGCTGGGTGGTCGCGGGCCCCTTCTCTGCCGGCCGGCGCGCGCTGGCTGGTTCGCATCCTTCGCTGCCTCTCCCCCGCGCTCCGCAATGCAGTTGGGAGGCTGGCACACGCGCCGGGGCTGGGCTGGTTCCTCCCGAGCCCGAGGAGGGGGATCTGGGAGCCCAGCGGGAGCTGCTGCCGCGGGTGGGGTCGAGGGTGGCACCGGCGATGGGACCACAGTTACCGTTTCTGTGGTTTTGTTTTGTATGGTGGGGGTGGGTGGGGGCCGGGTTTGGGGCTGGACTTTGGAACTGGCCGGGTGGCTAGGATTTGGGGCTGAGGCTGGATTTGGAATTCGAAATCCAAGGTAGAGTTGGTGACAGTGATGATTCTGGGAGCTGATGATGGGGCGGGCAGTATCTCTGCGGTGGGGGCAGGGCTGGAGGCACCGCTGAGTGGAACTGAAGCTAAGGTCTGGGGCCAAATTGGTGCCATGTAAAACTCAGGTTTTCCGAGTGCTGAGGTCTGGGGTTGTGTTTGGGGGAGTATGGGACCAGTTGCAGATAGAGCACAAAAGGGGTAGGGAGGGTCTGTTCTAAGGGTTGGGGTAGGCAGAGGGCTTTTAGTCAGGGCTGGGGCTGCCAGTGTGGGGAGTGGAGAGGTGTGGGGGATGGGGGAACCCAGCCGCCCAGTGGACCAGGCAGGCGGGGAGTGGGGGGGGGGGTGATGCATCTGACTTGTGTGTCCTTGTGTCCTTTTCCCTCGACCCACACAGATGGCTGTGATGAAGAGCTGGTGGGGCCCCTCTACTATCGCTCCCTGGGTGCCTCCTCTTACTACAGTTTTTTCACAGCACCCCGCTTTGCACGTCTGCATGGTGAGCAGGGCAGCAGCTGGGGGCGGGGGGTGGCGGAGTGAAGGGCGAGGTGGTGGTGAAAGCTTTGCCTCTTTCCTAGGCATTAGTGGATGGTCTCCCCGGATTGGGGACCCAAATCCCTGGCTCCAGATAGATTTAATGAAGAAGCACCGCATCCGAGCCGTGGCCACGCAGGGTTCATTTAACTCGTGGGACTGGGTCACACGTTACATGCTGCTCTATGGCGACCGGGTGGACAGCTGGACTCCTTTCTACCAGCAAGGGCACAACTCGGTATTCGGAGCTCCCTGAAGCAGACACTGGGGCAGCCTCCTGGGCTGAGCACCAGTTTGGGGAGCAAGGGGTGGAGGCAGTTGTGAGGATACAGTGGCACCAGGACTCAGTCCAAAGTGTCAACTCATCATGTGTGTGCACACGTCTAGGCTTTTGAATAATCTTGGGGTGCTTCCTGAAAGAGGTGCCCCCTGATCTAGAGCTAGGATGGTGGGAGAGGCAGGGAGCAGAGCTTAGGAAGCCTGGGCATAACGGAGAAGGGTCGGGCGGGTGGGGACGCGGTCACTCCTCTCCCCGCTGCTCTCTCAGACCTTCTTCGGGAACGTGAATGAGTCGGCCGTGGTCCGCCACGACCTGCACTACCACTTCACAGCGCGATACATCCGCATCGTTCCCCTGGCCTGGAACCCTCGCGGCAAGATCGGCCTGCGGCTCGGCCTCTATGGCTGTCCCTACAGTAAGGGCGCGGGCCGGGCGGGCGCGAGGGCGGGGCGCAACCCGGGCATCCCCGCGCCCACCCACGGCCGCGCGCGTCGCCCTCTGCAGAGTCCGACGTGCTCTACTTCGACGGCGACGATGCCATCTCCTACCGCTTCCCGCGCGGGTACAGCCGCAGCCTGTGGGACGTGGTCGCCTTCAGCTTCAAGACCGAGGAGAAAGACGGGCTCCTGGTGCACGCCGAGGGCGCCCAGGGCGACTACGTGACGCTCGAGCTCCAGGACGCGCATTTGCTGCTGCACATGAGCCTGGGTGAGCCCGGGGCGCGCGCCAAACCCAGACCGCCCCTGCCCTAAGCCCCTGCGTCTTTAAGCTCCCCTTTCTTTCTTTTTCCCCTTTTTGTTCGGCCACACCCGGCGTTGCTTAGGGTTTACTCCTGGCTCTGCACTCAGGAATGACTCCTGGTGGTGTTTGCGGCACCATATGGGGTGCGGGGGGATTGAGCTGGGTCCTCTGTGTGCAAGGACCTACCCGCTGTACCCGCACTCCAGTACCCTAAGCTTCCCTTTCTTAAGGTTGAGACCAACTTGCCTTTCTTTCTTTGTCTTTCTTTCTTTCTTTCTTTCTTTCTTTCTTTCTTTCTTTCTTTTCTTTCTTTCTTTCTTTCTCTTTCCTTTTCTTTTGTTTGTTCTTTTATTTTTTCTTTTAAAAAACGTTTTGTTTTGTTTTTGAGTTACACCCCCTGGCTTTGCACTCTGGGATCAGGCCTGGCAGGCTCAGGGGCCATATGGTGGTGCCAGGGATCGAATCTGGGTTCACCATGGGCAAAGCAATTTGTCCTACCTGCTGCACTATCCCAATAGTGTACTCCCTCCCGCCACCCCTGTTTTTTGGTCACACCCAGGAGTGCTCACTTAGTAATCACTTCTGGCAGTGCTTGGGACTGAACTGTCCCCCACCCTCCTACAAGGCCTTCAATTCTGTACTATCCCTCTGTGCCTTTTTTGTTTTGATTTGTTCTTGGGCCTCACTTGCTAGTGCCCCTGGTCGGTTCTGACTCTGTGCTCAGGAGTGACCCCTGATGGTGCTTGGCGGGAACATATGTGGTTCAGAGATTGAATGGGCTGGGCAGCTGTGCAGTATAATCTTATTCCTTTGACTATCTATCTGGCCCCGACATACCTTTCCCATGGAATATTTGGTGCTAGCAAAGCAAGAGAGCTGGATCCCAGCCTCTGTTCTCCCACCTACAAGTTGGTATGACCTGGGACAAGATGTTTTTCCAGCCTCAGTTCTGACACCATCATTCACACATGGGCATAGATGAGTTTTAATAGTTGTTTGTTTGTTTGTTTGTTTTGGGGCCACACCTGACGGTGCTCAGGGGTTACTCCTGGCTCTGCACTCAGCAATTATTCCTGGCAGTGCTCTGAGGATCATATGGGATGCCAAATCGAACTGGTTTGGCTGTATGCAAGGCAAAGTGTTCTCCTTGTTCTTTCTGCCCCCCTCCCAATTGTTTACAAACAAGTTTTTTTTTTTTTTTTGCATTTTGGGTCACACCTGGCGAAGCACAGGTGTTACTCCTGGCAGTGCTCGGGGGACCATATGGGGTGCTGGGAATCGAACCCAGGTTGGCCGCGTGCAAGGCAAATGCCCTATACTGCTGTACTATCGCTCCAACCCCTAAAACAAGTTCTTTTTTTTTTTTCTTTTTGGGTCACATCCGGCGATGCACAGGGGTCATTCCTGGTTCTGCACTCAGGAATTACTCCTGGCGGTGCTCAGGGGACCATATGGGATGCTGGGAATCGAACCTGGGTCGGCCGGGTGGAAGGCAAACACCCCTATCCACTGTGCTATAGCTCCAGCCCCCAAACAAGTTCTTTTTAACTTCTCTTTCCCCTCTGATGTTGTGATGTGCCCAGCAGGGTGCTTATGTGGGCTCAGAGAGGTCTGTGTTCATCAGCTGTAGTCCTTTGCCCAGGTGCTCGCTGAGGCTCACACTAGTTGAGGTGCATAAACAGGTGATGGTGAGGTGTTCTCTGGGGTGACAGTGACATTCACACATGTGTCACACTTCCTGGCTCTGGGGCTGGCTTGTACATCTTTTTAGCTGTGGTGCTCTCTGTGGGGTGCTCCTCTTAAAATTTTTTTTTGGATTTTTAGGCCACTCCTGGCTCTGTGTTCAGGGATCACTCCTGGCAGAGCTCAGGGGATCATGTGGGGTGCCGGAGGTCAAACATATGTGAAGCCGCATGCAAGGCAAGCTTCCTATCTGCTGTGCTATTGCTCCAGTTCCCTTTAAAATTTTGTTTCAGTTTTTGATTGCAATTCTATGATTTACAATACTATTAAATATAGTTCCTGAGGCACATAATTCCAACAGCACACACAACACCAATGTACCCATCTTGCTCCCTTTTGTGGGGAGCCTCCCTTTTGGTAATGCTCACACCCACCTGGCTGCAGTGGCTCTAGGCCCCCACAGCAGAGCTGCTGAGGGCTTCCCTCAGCCTACCTGGGCCACGGGGATTTGACTCATGCTGGCAAGGCAGGTGCTCACCCACCCCCCACTCTTTCTCTCTGTTCTAGGGGGAACTGTCATTACATTAGAGCTCATTCGCCTTTCATAACTCCCCCGTTTTAAGACAGAGGCAGCTCTCCCGCCCCAAGTTCTGGGGAGAGGAAAGGAGATTCAGAGAATTTAAGGGTGTACCCTAGGCCACAGACTTCTCCCCTGGCTCTGGTCCAGGCGGCTTGTACATTCCCACCCTTCCTGGCAGCCCTGAGCCTCATGCAGCCCCTGCCATTCTGGGGTGCCCTAGGATGCTATAAGTGTGAGTTCTGATCTGATCCCCCTGCCCCTCCCTCAGGCAGCAGCCCCATCCAGCCCAGGCCAGGCCACACCACGGTGACTGCTGGGGGCGTCCTCAATGACCTGCACTGGCATTATGTCCGGGTGGACCGATTCGGCCAGGATGTGAACTTCACCTTGGATGGCTACGTGCAGCGCTTCATACTCAATGGCGACTTTGAGAGGCTGAATCTGGACAATGAGGTGAGTGGAAGAGGCCAGAGGGGACGTCTGGGTGGGTGGGGGAAGACAATCTTAAGCTTTCTAACTCTGAGAAAGCTGTGGCTCTATCACAGCCTGGGGTGGTCAAGAGCTTCTTTCAGCTGGGGTAGGGAGTGGGGTCCCTCCCTGTGGCTACCCTAGGTCAGGCCTGGGACTTCCATGTGTGCTCCAGGCCTTTGCACGAACTCCCTGGTTTGCTTGTGTTCCTCTCCCTGCTGCTTGCAGAGTCCCTGGCGTGCCATCCCCCCACTACTGAGAACTGACTTTGGAAATAAGGCAAATAAGACAACAACCCCCTTGGGTTGCTCCCACTCCGTGGAGTTGGCAAGACCCTGGGATCTCTCCACAGATCAAGAATCTCAGACTAGGGGGCTGGAGAGATAGCACAGTGGATAGGGCATCTGCCTTGCAAGCTGCTGACAGGGCAGGGGTGGGGTGTTCAATCCCTGGGACCCCCCACAAGATCCCCGAGCTCCACCAGGAGTGATCTTGGAGCTGAGTGTTCAGCCGGGAGTAAGCCCTGAGCACTGCTGGCTGTGACCATAAAACAAAATAAAATTTAAGGGGAGGCCTGGAGCTATTGTACAATGGGGAGGGCACTTGCCTTGCACCCAGCTCACTTGGTTTGATCCCTAGCACCCCGCATTGTCCCCTGAACCTGCCAGGAGTGTTCCCTGAGTGCAGAGCCAGGAGTAAACCCTGAGCACTGCTGGGTGTGGTCATAAGGCAAACCCAGAGGGCTTGTCTGTGATGGTTGAGGCTGGAACCCAAGCCTCCTGGGGCCCACAAGGATCCACTTTAGAGCCACACTAGGGGATGTCTCTGTCTTTTCTGAAGCGGGGTCTGGAGTCTGAGAAAGTATACGGCAAAGGGGGCAGGGAGAGGGGAAGGCTGCAGACCTGCCCTATGGCTAATGCTGCCACTGCCGGCCTGGCCTATCCTGCAGATGTTCATAGGGGGCCTGGTGGGCGCCGCCCGGAAGAACCTGGCCTACAGGCACAATTTCCGGGGCTGTATAGAGAACGTCATCTTCAACCGGGTCAACATTGCAGACCTGGCCGTTCGGCGCCACTCGCGGATCGCGTTTGAGGCTAGTGGACAGGGGTTCTGGGAGGATGGGACCTGGGAGGGCAGGGGCGGGGAGGGTGGGACCTGGGAGGGTAAGGGCTTGGAGGGTAAGGGTTGGGAAGCAGGGGGGGGGGGGGCGGGGGAGGATGGGGGCCCTGGGAGAACCGGACACCCAAGAGATTCAGGAGTTTAGTAAAGAGGTGGCCAGGTAGCGATCTGGTGATTCCTTTCCACGCCCAGCCCAGACCCCTCCCTTCAGCGCCAGATGCTCAGGAAGTGTGGGGGCGAGCCACAGACTCACGGACGGTGCAAAAACCACCCCACTCCCCCAATTTTAGAAAGTCTGGTCTGATTTTCAAGAAGAGGAGGAGGTGCAGTGAATGGCCAGGGGTCCGCTGAGCAGGGCCGTGACCCCTGGGCTCTGGAATGCACTGACCCCCACAGCCGGTGCCGGGCACAGGGATCCTGGGCCGGGTGCCAGGCGGACCCCGAGGGGACACTGGGGGTCCGAACTTCCGTCCGCAGGGTAAGGTGGCGTTCCGGTGCCTGGACCCCGTTCCTCACCCTGTCCACTTCGGAGGGCCCCACAACTTCCTGCTGGTGCCCGGCTTCCCGCGTCGCGGCCGCCTGGCCGTGTCCTTTCGCTTCCGCACGTGGGACCTCACGGGGCTACTCCTATTCTCCAGCCTGGGCGACGGGCTGGGCCACGTGGAGCTGATGCTCAGCGAGGGCCAGGTCAACGTGTCCATTGCCCAGGCCGGTCGCAAGAAGCTGCAGTTCGCTGCTGGTGAGAGCGCAGGGAGGCCTCTGTGGATCAGAGGGGTGGGAGGCAAGGCAGGAGGCGGAGTTGGGGGCCCCCTGGGGTGCTGGGGAGAGAGGCCTAGTGGCCCCCAAGCCCAGGGGCTCTCTGGCGGGGTTTGGTAGCTGATGGCTTAGCAGACACTCTGGGCAATGGAACTGTGAAATGTAATAGCAGGGGCTTAGGGGCAGCTCTTGGGGTGGGGGGTGGGGGGAGGGGGTGGAGGCTGCTTCTTCCCCACTGGGCCTCCTGTCCCTGGCCTCCTGCTCCTCCCACCCCAGGCTCCTCCTCCCACCCAGGCTCCTCCTCCCACCCCACGGCTCCTCCTCCCCTGCCCAGGGTTTCGGCTCAACGATGGCTTCTGGCACGAGGTGAATTTCGCTGCCCAGGAGAACCACGCGGTCATTAGCATCGACGACGTGGAGGGGGCAGAGGTCAGGGTCTCATACCCACTGCTGATCCGAACGGGGACCTCATACTTCTTTGGGGGTAAGGAGGGGCCATCTGGCCAGGCCCCTGTGTCTGGGCGGGAAGGCCCCTTCTAAGTCCACCCAGACTGGGTGACTTGGAGAGTTTCAGAGGTTTGAATCCCTCTTTCTCTCCTGAAGCTGTCAGAACGTCACTGTGATTGTATATGTCTCATTGCTTCCTTCCTCCCTTCTTCTTGCCTTCCTCCCTTTATCCATCCATCCTTCTTTCCTTCCTTCCTCCCTTCCTTCCTTCCTTCCTTCCTTCCTTCCTTCCTTCCTTCCTTCCCTCCTTCCTTCCTTTCCCCTTCCCTTCCTCCTTCCCTCCCTCCCTCCCTTCCTTCCTTTCCCTTGTCATTTACCTGGGGAGGGTCTCCGGAGTCTCCCCTGCAGAGGGTCTCACAGGGGTGGTCGCTCCAGGTTGTCCCAAGCCAGCCAGTCGATGGGGCTGCCACTCTAACCAGACGGCATTCCACGGCTGCATGGAGCTGTTCAAAGTGGATGGTCAACTGGTCAACCTGACACTGGTGGAGTTCCGGCGGCTCGGGTTCTTCGCCGAGGTCCTCTTTGACACATGTGGTATCACTGACAGGTATCCAGAGCCCCTCTCCCTGTAAGAGGTGACCCCCACGGTTCCCACTGGGAATGGCTGTTCTCAGTCATCTCCTTCTCAGCCTCCGCCTGGGGACGGCCCTTCCTTACCCTCTCACCTTCTTTTAAGTGGCCTGTGCTTGGCATGGAAATGGCCCATCTGTGGCCCCAGAGGGTTCTTTTGGAGGGTTGAGAGAGGGCCCGCAGCAGCACTGATCCTTCTCTTGGAGAAGGGAAAACCACAGAGACTTGCACCCTGAGACCTTCCTATAACCCCCATCCCGACATTTTGATTCTATCTTGTTCAGTGGGGTGTTAGGGGTGCCAGAGACCAGGTCTGCTGCTTGAGGTTTGTAGGTCCCAGACCCCACCCTCAAGCTCCCAACGAGGCTGCTCTTCCCTTGGGGCCCCCCGTTTCCCAGATGCAGCCCTAACATGTGTGAGCATGATGGCCGCTGCTACCAGTCCTGGGATGATTTCATCTGCTACTGCGAGCTCACAGGCTACAAGGGCGTGACCTGCCATGAGCGTAAGCCAGCCAGGATCTGGGGGGTCCGAAAACTCCTGGGGAGGGGCGGGTGATGAGGCCATGGGAAGTGTGGTAGTTCTGGCCCTCCTAGCTCTCTGACCCATACTGATTTTCACCCTAACCCTGCTCTGCCCACACACCTACCAGCTTTATATAAGGAATCTTGCGAAGCTTATCGGCTCAGTGGGAAATATTCTGGAAACTTCACCATTGATCCTGATGGCAGCGGCCCCCTGAAGCCATTCATGGTGTACTGCGATATCCGAGGTGAGCAGCTTAGGACAGGGCAAATAAGAGAGGACTGAAAGGTGGGCAGGGGCCAGGGAAAGAAAACTCTGGAATTGGCACCTAGCCTCGCAGAGCAATTCCATCCTGGCGCTGGGCCGGGTCGGGCTGCGCACCCATTTCTCCTCTGACTTGTGGCGTTGGTGGCAGCAGTGGGCGGGGAGACCCTCATCTGTCCCTGGCCCTTCCCTAGAGAACCGGGCATGGACCGTGGTGCGGCACGACAGGCTGTGGACCACGCGGGTGACAGGCTCTAGCATGGAGCGGCCTTTCCTGGGGGCTGTCCAGTACTGGAACGCGTCCTGGGAGGAAGTGGGCGCTCTGGCCAACGCCTCCCAGCATTGCGAACAGTGGATCGAATTCTCCTGCTACAATTCCCGGCTGCTCAACACGGCAGGTGAGGCCGAGGGCAGGGGGCCAGGTGGGGCAGCAGAGATGTCAGCAAGTGCCCTGGACGATCCCCTTCACACTGGGTCCTGGCACCCAGAGCCTGGCAGAGGGATGGGGCCCGGAAACTGCCCGCGCCTCTCCCCCAGGAGGCTACCCCTACAGCTTCTGGATGGGCAGAAACGAGGAGCAGCATTTCTACTGGGGCGGCTCCCAGCCTGGCATCCAGCGCTGCGCTTGCGGGCTGGACCGCAGCTGCGTGGACCCCGCCCTGCACTGTAACTGTGATGCCGACCAGCCGCAGTGGTGAGGGCGCAGAGGGGGGCGCTCATGGGGTAGGGGCGGGATGGAGGGGAGGGGAGGGGCAGCAGAGTGGCCGGGGCTGAGCCACTGCGTCTGTCCCCCAGGAGAACGGACAAGGGGCTGCTGACCTTTGTGGACCATTTGCCTGTCACCCAGGTGGTGGTGGGGGACACGAACCGCTCCAACTCTGAGGCCCAGTTCTTCCTGAGGCCTCTGCGCTGCTACGGTGACCGTGAGTGGCCGGACCCTCGCACGTCCCTGCCCAGGCTTCCTCCTCTCCAGCGCCCTGACGTGGCCGGGGGTCTCGGGACACGTTCCCAGGCCACCCCACTTCTGTAGGGACTTGACCCTCCAATCCTTCAAATCTGTGCTGCTCCTGTGCGTTTTCTTTCTTTTTTATGTTTTTGGGCCACAGCTGGCGACGCTCAGGGGACCCTATGGGGAATAAGGGATTGAACCTGGTTCGGCTGCTTGTAAGGCAAGCTCCTTGCCTGCTGTACTACCTCTGTGGCCCCACCTTCCTGCTCTTTCTGTCCTCTCCTGAGCACCCCTGGCCGTCCCCGTTCTTCCTTCCTCCTGTTCCCCACTGAGGCTCCCCTTCTCCTCCGTGCTGGCTCTGGACTCCCCAACATGCCTCCCCCGCTCCGGTTTTGCAGGCAATTCCTGGAACACCATCTCCTTCCACACGGGGTCCACGCTCCGCTTCCCCCCGATCCGGGCCAACCACAGCCTCGACGTCTCCTTCTACTTCAGGACCTCGGCTCCCTCTGGCGTCTTCCTGGAGAACAAGGGGGGGCGTTACTGCCAGTTTCGGCGGCCTTACTTGCGGGTGGAACTTAACAGTGAGCGGCAGACCCGGGGAGGGGTCAGTGGGGGGAGCCCCTGACCCCTGGGAAGATTGGGGCAGGCTAGGGTGAGAGACACACGCTCTATAAGAGGTGGCAGGACAGGGGCCTTCGGGAGACCTGGGGCCAGGCCTGCCCCTTTCCGCACTGTGGGTGTCGGGGTAGCTTTGGGCCTTGCGCTCTGCCCTTGGCCTCTTGCTTCTGGACCAGGAAGCAGATTCCTGACACAGCCAGAGTTGGGGAGCGGCTCTGGCCTCTGCAGACTTGGGAAATCGGGGTCAGTGGATTTCAGCGGCTGCCGGGTTTTGTCCAGGAAACAGACTAGCTGGAAGGACGCGTGGAAGTTGGGGTGTCGCGGAAGTTGGGGTGTCCGTGGGTGAAGGAGCCCAGGGGTCTTGGCATTCTGAGTCCTCCATCTCCACCCATCCCCCCAGCCTCCCGGGATGTGGTCTTTGCATTCGATGTGGGCAATGGGGACGAGAACCTGACAGTGCACTCGGAGGACTTCGAGTTCAACGACGACGAGTGGCATCTGGTGCGGGCAGAGATCAACGTGAAGCTGGCCCGGCTGCGCGTGGACCACCGGCCCTGGGTACTGCGGCCAATGCCCCTGCAGACCTACATCTGGCTGGAGTATGACCAGCCCCTCTATGTCGGTGAGCCGAGTCCAGCCCCACATTGTTTCCGGGACCCCCTGTCTGCAGCTCCAGCACCTTCGGCTTTGGAATGATTCGGGGCCCCTCCAGAACCTTCTTTTTTCACCTACTGGCACTCCTTGCCCAAGTCCTCTCTCTGACATCACCCCCCCCACCTCTTTCTTGCCCTCCTTTCCCTAGGATCTGCGGAGCTTAAGAGACGCCCTTTTGTGGGGTGCTTGAGGGCTATGCGTCTGAATGGGGTGACTCTGAACCTGGAGGGTCGTGCCAATGCCTCGGAGGGCACCTCCCCCAACTGCACAGGCCACTGCGCCCATCCCCGCTTCCCCTGCTCCCACGGAGGCCGCTGTGTGGAGCGCTACAGCTACTACACGTGTGACTGTGACCTCACGGCGTTTGATGGGCCATATTGCAACCACGGTCCGTGCTGCCGCAGGGAATCATGGGAGGGAGGGCAGGCAGGGCAGGAAGGAGGGCACGAGGTGACTGTCAGGGAAAGCCAGTAGTCCCTGGGTTCCTGGGGGTCAGTTAGGCATGGAAGATGTTATAGTAAGTCCCAAGGCATAAAGAGGGCAAGGAAAGGTGGGGCAGCTCGCAGGTAAGTAAGCAGCCAAGGGGATGAGCTGAGGCATCCCGTGTGGTCCCTCAAGCCCAACAGGAGTGATTCCTGAGTACAGAGCCAGGAGTAACCTCTGACTATCGCCAGATGTGGCCCCAAATCCCCCCCCCCCCCCAAGAAACCCCAGAAAGGCAATGAGCAAATGTTTCCCCTCTCCCCGGTGCATGCCCAACTGGCTGAGGTTTCACAACATCCACCCTGACCATTTCCTGTCTGACCATCTCCACCCCACCACAAAACGTGTCTATGGCCTGGTCTTGGTTACAGAAAGCCCCGACCTTCCCCACAGCAAAATTCTGCACACACCCTTCAAACTTGTACCCCCATTCAAGGCTGTCCTGGGAGGAAGCAGGCCGGTTATGGGGACGGGGTGGTCTGGTCGGATTGGCTCCAGCAGGCCTTTGGGATGCCTCAGGAGACCTTTGGTCTCATTTTGGAAGTATGAGGAGTGGTGTGTGTGCCCGCTGGGGCCACTATCCCAGTTCAAGCTCCCGGAACGTACCCTATGTGCTCAGGCCAGTGATTTCCTCTTCCCACGCCTCAGTTTCCCCATCAGTACAAGACAGGCTTGAATTAGGAGGATCTCTCCTGGGTTTCAGACTCCATCCTGGGAGACAGAAGCAGCCGGCAGTGTGCGGAGAGTTTGAGGGCAGGCACAGGGGCCATGTGGGGGCCATGCCCTGCCCCCAGCTTAGGATCTGGGCCCTGACCTCCCTCCCTCCCGCTTCAGACATCGGCGGGTTCTTCGAGCAGGGCACCTGGATGCGCTATAACCTGCAGTCGGCTCTGCGCTCTGCCGCCCGTGAGTTCTCCCACATGCTCAGCCGCCCGGTGCCCGGCTACGAGCCCGGTTACATCCCTGGCTATGACACTCCCGGGTATGTCCCGGGGTACCACGGCCCCAGGTACCGCCTGCCTGATTACCCACGGCCCGGCCGGCCCGTGCCGGGGTACCGCGGACCCGTCTACAATGTCACGGGAGAGGAGGTGTCCTTCAGCTTCAGCACCAGCTCAGCCCCGGCGGTCTTGCTCTATGTCAGCTCCTTTGTGCGAGACTACATGGCCGTGCTCATCAAGGAGGATGGTAGGCGCCTCTGCCAGCCTCCTGCCCCGTCTCACTCGCCTCCCTCACGCCAGGCCCCACGTGGGGGCAGTGGGAGCTGAGGAGTCGCCCCCTTCCTCCCCCCGTGCCTCCCAGGGACCCTGCAGCTGCGCTACCAGCTGGGCACCAGCCCCTACGTGTACCAGCTCACCACCCGGCCGGTGACTGACGGCCAGCCCCACAGTGTCAACATCACGCGGGTCTACCGTCATCTCTTCATCCAGGTGTGCACCCAGGGAGGGCAGCAGAAAGTCGGGGAGAGAAGCTTGGGAGCTTGGCTGTGGCTTGGGCGTGGAGAGCACATTCCAGCTTACAGTCGTGTGCTGCCTCCTGTGTCCCCCGCAGCACCCTGGGATGGCTCAGGTAGACAGAGGGTCCCCTGTCTCATTCGGCAGCACAGAAAACGGACTCAGTAAAATGGCCTTCAGCAAACCAGCAATAAGCCACAAAGACGTTGCTCAGAAAACAAAGTTTTGGGCCAGAGAGATATAGTCCAGTGGGTAGGGTATTGGCCCGGCACGTGGCTGACTCAGGTTCCATCACCAGCACCCCATATGATCCTCCAAGCCCACCAGGAGTGAGTCCTTAGTGCAGAGCCAGGAGTAAGCCCTGAGTATCGACAAAAGGCAGAACGGGGCTGGAGAGATGGTACAGAGGGGAGGGCACTTGCTTTGCACATGCCTCACCCGGGTTCTGTCCCTGGCATCCCAGAAGTGATCCCTGAGCTCAGAGCAGGAGTAAACCCTGAGCACTGCCAGGCATGGTCCCAAAACAAACAAAAGAACCAAAGTTTTATTCATTAAAAATTATGTTGTTGGGACTGGAGAGATGGTACAGTGGACAGGCACTTGCCTTGCATGCGGCTGACCCAGGTTGGATCCCCAGCCTCCCATATAGTCTTCTGAGCACCACCAGAAGTGCGGAGTGATCCCGGAGCACTGCTGGATGTGCCCAAAGGCCCCCCACAAAAAAACAAACCGTAAGTTGTTTTTGGGATATACCTAGCAATAGTTAGGGGCTCCTCCTGCCACTGTGCTTGGGATCACTCCTGGCTGTACTCGGGGTCCATGTGGTTCCGTGGACAGAATTTGGGCAAAATGTGTGCCTCAGCCCTTTGAGCCTTTGCACACATCCCTCAGGACCAAGTTCTGAATTGTCAAATGTTAGGTCTGGGGCTGATCTCCTAGAATGGAGCAAGGATTCATCCGGTGGCACTCCTGCTTTGTTCTCTTTGTATTTTTTAATTTTTGAGGTCTTGGGGCCACACCTGGTGGTGCTCAGCGCTTGCTCCTGTGCTCAGCGGTCACTCTGGGCTGTGCTCAGGGGACCCTATGCGGGGCTGGGGATTGAACTGGCTATGTAGCGAGTGCCTTAAGCCCTGTGCAGTCTCTCCGCCCGACTTTCCTTTTTTTTTTTTTTTTTGGTTTTGTTGAGCACAGCCCGAGAGTTGCTGTGCTGTCTTGGTTCTAGCTGCCTCTAACCCTTTCTTCTCCCCCTGCTCCAACCCCCAGGTGGACTACTTCCCACTGACCGAACAAAAGTTCTCCTTGCTGGTGGACAGCCAGCTGGACTCACCCAAGGCTTTGTATCTTGGGCGTGTGATGGGTACGCTGTGGGTTTTGTGGGTGGGGAGCGTGGCAGGGCTGGGGACCGCAGTAACGGAGGGGAGTCGTGGGGGAATCCTGGCCACTGGGAACAGGCCGGGGTGAGCCACGCCCCCTCCCTGGCCCGCAGAGACGGGTGCCATTGACCCGGACATCCAGCATTACAACACCCCGGGCTTCTCTGGCTGCCTCTCGGGTGTGCGCTTCAACAACGTGGCTCCACTCAAGACCCACTTCCGGAGCCCACGCCCCATGACCGAAGAGCTGGCCGAGGCCCTCCGGGTGCAGGGAGAGCTGTCAGAGTCCAATTGCGGTGCCATGCCACGGCTGGTCTCAGAGGTGCCACCTGAGCTGGACCCCTGGTATCTACCCCCAGGTAGGTGCCTGGGACACAGATGGCCCCAGGGATGGGTGGAGGTGCACGGGGGTTGGAGGGGTGGTCGGCCCGGAGGGTGCCCATGGCTAACTTGGTCTCCTCATGAGTGCTGCATTCTTCCCCCCCAGACTTCCTGTACTACCACGACGACGGATGGGTGGCCATACTTCTAGGCTGTGAGTAGCCCTGGTCATCGCTTGTCCTGTCCACTCCCACCCAGATCCATCATAGTCCCCGCTTTCCCTGCCCTGGGGCTGATGGAAGAACAGGGTTAGACTGGAGACTTTTAAATGAGGATGCAGGAGACTTTTTTATCAAAATGGACCCGAGGGTATGGGGCTGGCTCCCTGGGGTGTGGTAGTCATGTTAGGAACAGAGGTTGGAGGGCGAGAGAGATAGTACAGTAGACAGGGCTCTTGCCTTGCACATGGCCCACCTGGGTTTAATCCCTGACAACCTATATGGTCCCCTGATCTCTCCGATCTACTGAGAGTGATCCCTGAGCATAGAGCCAGGAGTAATAACTGGCAGGTAGCACTGTAGCTATCCCGTTTTTCATCGATTTGCTTGAGCGGGCCCAGTAACATCTCTCCATTGTGAGACTTGTTAGTGTGTTTGGCATATCGAATATGTCATGGGTAGCTTGCCAGGCTTTGCCATGCGGGCAAGATGGGGCTCCAGCCCCATTCTTACATTTAAAAAAAAAATTAGGCACTATGATTTATGGAGTTGTTTACGGGGGGGGGGGGGGGTTCAGGTATACAATGTTCCATCTCTAATTCCACCACCCTGGGTCCCCAGCTGTCCATCACTGACCCCCAGTCCCCTCCCACCCAGCTGAACTGTTCCCTTCTTCCCTTTCAGTTTTGGTGGCCTTCTTGCTGCTGGGGCTGGTGGGGATCCTGGTGCTCTTCTATCTACAAAATCATCGCTACAAGGGCTCTTACCACACCAATGAGCCCAAGGCCACCCACGATTACCAACCTGGCGGCAAACCTCCCCCCTCGACTTCAGGGCCTGCCCAGGCGCCCACTCCTACACCAGCTCCCACACAAGTTCCAGGCCCTGCCCAGGCCCCAACCCCGGCCCCGGCCCCAGCCCCAGCCCCAGCTCCAGCCCCAGTTCTAGTCCCTCGGGAACAGAACCTTCCACAGATCCTGGAGGAGTCCAGGTCTGAATGAACCAGGGGAAGGACTCGGGGGGAACTACTCCGTCTCCTCTGACTCCCCCAATTCCCCCCACCCCCACCCCCACCCCCAGTAGGGACATCGGGCTCCTTGTAGCTGGCTCTGCTCATCCAGAGGAGACCCCCTCCTGCCAGGTCTGGTGGGTAGAGCTCAGCCTCACTGCCTAAGCCAATGTCCTGCCTCTCCCCGTGCTCCCCGCTCCTGGTTGTTTGCCTGTCCCCAAAGAGGAAGCTGAGAAGGCCCTTCCCGCCGCCTCCCCCTGGCGGCTGCCACCAGAGCACAGGGGAGTTGCACTGCCTCCTGCACACACTGGGTCTCAGCAGGAACAGATGTGAGGGGTTGTGGGGGTGCGCAGGGGCACGAGGGGCTGGGGAGGAGGCTGCTAAATCACATCCCCGGGCCACCCCCCTGCCCCCGCAGAATGTCCTCCAGCTGCTTCTACTCAGCTGGACGTTAGGGGGGCTTCTCTGCTCTTCCCTCCTACCCCCTTTTCCTTTTTTTTACAGAGACCACGAGGCCTCAGTTTAGCACTTTAGTACCTCCGCTGCTTCACACGCTTTAGCCAAAGCCATAAAAAAAAAAAAAAAAAACCCTTGCAATGTAGGGAGAAAAGATGCAGACCCTGACCTGCTTGCCCTCTACTCTCCTCCCTCTTCCAAGATATGCAATCGCCTGGGTGCCTGTCTGCAGGCTCGGCCCCCCATGCATGTGGAGCCCTTTTCCCCCTGCTCAATGCTGCTGCGCTTGCCCAGGTCGTCACATTCTTTATATACTTGTTGTTGCAAAGCCCCTCCCTAGAGAAACACTATATTAACTAATTTTTTTAACATCGGTTTATATATAAAAGAGAAAAAAAAAATCCATGATTGTCCTGTGCCGTGCCCACTGTCCAGTCTGCTGCTCCTGTGTCGGGAAGGGGGACCACGGCCCACCCCGCCTGGCCCCTGCTCTGAAGCTATGCTCCGACTCGGAGCTGTTCTAATAAAGCCTCAAGGCGGAGCCCAGGTCTGTGTGTGGTGGCTGGTGCCTCGCGTGGGGAGCGGAGAAGTGGCATGATTGGAAGGAAAAGAATCCGAGGATGGGGCGGGGGATTTCCTTGGGGAGCCCTCAGAATCCTTACCTCAGGGACCACGAGCCCGATTGGTTCCTGCCCAGTCCATCACCTCCTGAACCCACCTCCCAGGGGCCAACAGTCCCAAAGCACACAGTACACAAGGCCCAACATGGATTCTACCACTTTATTCAGAGAAGAGGTCATAAGCCATCGGGCTTTAAAGTGCGTGAGAGTCGCTGCAGTAGCTCTCCTGGGGAAGGGGCACCCCATCTTTACCATCGAAGCAGCAGCAGGCGGCAAGGGGAGGGGGCGGGAGTGTGAGGGGTCTGAACGGGTGACCCTTTACTGTGGGGGTCAGGCCAGCCTCCCCCAGGCCCGTGTCATATGCTTGTCACCTGCCCTTCAGCCAGCCCCCCAGACCTCATTGCCCCTCGTCCGTGTGTCTCTGGGCTTCCCCTATGATTTACGAGTAACTTGGAGCCCCCAGCCCAGCTTGAGGGTGTTCTCCCCTGCCCCCGCCGGCCATGATACAAACCACAGCAGATACAGGGACCAGGTCCCCGATGGGGCAGGAACCAGCGAGCAGGGAGAGGGTCTGCCAGGAGATGGTGCTGAGTGCCTGCCAGTGAGGTCGGGAGAGAAGTGTGTGTGACTATGCATGAGTGTGAGTGTATGTGTGTGTGTAAGTGCATGTGTATATGCGTGTATGGTGTGTTGTGTGTATGTGTGCATATATCTGTACATGTGAGTCTGTGTGAATGCGAGTGTCAGAGTGTATGTGCGCATGTGTGTTTCAGTGTATGTAAGTGTATGTGTATGTATGTGTGTATGTGTGAGTATGTGAGTGTATGAGTGTGTGTATGTACGAGTGTGTGTGTGCACGCCCCATGAAAACCCTGAGTCCCAGCTTGGTGGCATGGGGAAGAGGGTAGGATCGCAGGACTGGAGGGCACAGAGGCTCCAGCTGCCTGGGAGAAGGGAGAGCTGCCCCTGGTACAGCCTCTCGGTTGACACCTGCCCACACCCTGGCAGGTCCTGTGCCCGCCCTGCTACCAGCTCAATATCTGGCCACGGCCACGTGGGCAGCTCTTGGGCTTGGTCCTGTGGCCATCGGTACTTCCTGCCTCACCGGAAAATGAGCAGTGTCGGTAGAGACATGTGCTCCTCATTCGGGAACGGGGTTTATTTACACAGGGACCCCAGAGACCGTGGCTCAAGTTCCACCTTCTTAAAGAAATAAAGTGCTTTTCTGGGCACTGCAGACTGGCACAGCTGGTTGGCCTGCTGTGCCCCCACACCCCACACGCTGCGGTGAGTCTGCCCTGCATGCATGATGCCGTCCGGGACCCGGGCCCCGCCCCTCCACGCGCAGTCAGACTCGGCCACGGTGGCCCAGCGAGGAGAGGCGGGAACCACTCCGTCCGGGGAAGCGGTCAGCACCGGCCCCCACTCCTGCTCAACTGCTAGGCCCCAGGGAAAGGCCGTGCAGGTGAAGGGCGGGGCTCCGGGAGGTGCTGAAACAGTCAGCTGGGAAGGGGGCTCCAAGTCTCAGGGGGGGCCCCACTCGGGCTGTTTCCTGCCATGTCCGCTGTGGCAGGGCGGTCTGAGCTTTCCTTCCCCAGTCCTCGAGGCTGCACTCAGAGCCCACTCAGAACCCTCTTCCCGGCTGAACCCTATCAGGAGGGCAGAGGTAGTACATGACCCACTGCCCTCCAGGCTCAGGCTGACCTGGAACCAAGCCTCTCTGAGGTGTGCGGGAACCCCCCGGATGTAGGCCTCTGGCCTCATGGAGTCGGAACTACAGGCTGAAGACGATGGTCCCTTCAACAGTCCAAGCCGACTCCTGAGGCCACAGCCTGGGTAGCAGCCAAGAAAGCCAGCATCAGTCCTCGGGGTCCTGCGGTCCTGGGTCCCCTCTGTGGGAAGCCCGGCCCTGGCTGCCTCTATTGCCGGCTCTCTGTCCACACTCGGGGCAGAGGCGGTGGTGGGGTCACTTAGTGGGGGCAGTGCGGGAAAGTCCAGCAGGGGTGGGCAGGGGCAGGAAAGCAAAAACAGTGCCGCTACCATAGCGCTGGCGGGGGACCCCGGAGGGCTAAAGGACATCGGTCTCCCGCTCGATCCCCACATACTTGAGGGCGTCGGCTTGGCTGTACCTGCGGGGAGGGCAGCGGGAGGGAGGCAGGTCAGGGTCCAGGCCTCTGGACCTTCCCTCCCCCGCTGCAGTTTCCTTGGCACCCACTTCCGGGGTCCCAGAGCACAGAGCCAGGAGTCCTGAGCTGGCTGGGAGAGTCCCTCCTCCAGGCCACGACCCCCACCCCGAGCCCCACCTGCCTCCACGCCTGCTTCCAGGGCCGCCTCCCAAGAATCGCTGCCAGCCGCCTCACCTGTAATCAAAGAAAAGCTCTTCCCCAGCTTGAATTGCTCTCTTGGCGAAGATCCCAATCCGATGATCCCCGTTCACCATGACCACTGCAAAGAGGAAGAGGGGGCCGAGGTGCATCAATCATGGTGCTCGGTGAAATGTAAATGAAAGAGAATTAGAAAGCCATCATGGAGGGCCAGGGAGAAGGGACAGTGGGCAGGGCGCTTGCCTGGTACGTGGGTCCCACACCTGATATCCCATATGGTTTCCTGAGCTCACCAGGAGCTACCCCTGAGCACGGAGCCAGGAGTAAGCCCCGAGCACGGCAGGGTGTGGCCCAGAAAACCACCAGGGAGTAGTGGCTTCTTTGGTTTCGGATCTGTTATTCTAACTACAGGGATTGGGGAGCAGAATTTAAAAGACTCACATCTGGGGGAAACTGTTGACAATGTAGCCAACGAACCAGGACTGCAACAGTGGCAACAAGAGGCACAAAGTCATACCCCACTGCTATTCTCCGGGCTTACACATGGATAGGACACATGCTAAAGACCGGCTAGAAGTCAGAAACCTGAAACAGCCACAGCCTCCACCCCACTTCCCAGTCACCCACCTTTGGCGTAACAGTTGGGATTCACCGAATGGTTTGCAAATCGAATTTTGTTTCCTTTGCGCGTGGCATCCACTACAAAATCTGTAGAATGTAAAAGCAAGGAAGACTATGAGCACACTACAGCTTCTGGGGTCTGAATAAAAAAAAAAGAAAAAAGAATTGGGGCGCACACCAGGCGATGCTCACAAATTGCCTGAGAAACTGGCACACTTCTGGCTCTGCATTCAGGAATCACACTTGAAGGTGCTCAGGGGATGATGTGGGATGCTGAGGATCGAACCCTGGCTGGCTGGGAGCAAGGCAAATGCCCCACCCACTGTACTATTGCTTTGGACCCTGAATTTAAAATTAAACAGTCACCAAAATTTCATAAGAAATTTCAAAGATCAGCTGCCAAAGGGGATGGGGGCAGGGCAGGAAAGTAAGTGGCATAAGAATTCAGATGCTGGGGCTTAAGAGATAAGAGCAGGGAGGGCATTTGCCTTGCACGTGGTCAACGTGGGTTCAATCTCCGGCATCCCAGATGGTCCCTGAGCACTGCCAGGAGTGGTTCCAAGTGCAGAGCCAGGGGTAACCCCAGAGCACTGCTGGGTGTGGTCCGAAAAAAAAAAACCCACAAAACGAAACAAAAGAGAACACAGGTGTGCCAGGGGCCAGGATGATACCGTGCAACAGGGACTAGGGCGTTTGCCTTGCACTCGGACAACCAGGGTTCAATCCCCAGCATCCCATACGGTCCTGAGTGTAGAGACAGGAGTAAACCTTGATCACTGCTGGTTGTGTTCCAAACAAACAAAAAAGCAGCATTCAGAAGAGGGGCCTGGGATGAGCTCACCCTGACGTGCAAGGGAGTCCAATCACCCACACTGGCCTGCAGGCCCGAGCCTGAGCCCAGCAGCGCTGCTCCTGGACATTCCCACTGCCACAACCAAGTGCCATCTACAAGAGCAAGAGTCACCACCAAGTGTGTGCAGCCCTTGGAGACTGCTAGGAGCAAGTACGAAAGCACAGCCTGGAGCGGGTGCCCCCCTCCCCCACAGACACAATCCCACAGGAAAGGGGAACACTCACAAAAGGTTGGGGGGCCTGAGTGGTAGGACAGCAGGGAGGCTGCTTGCCTTGCACACAGCTGATCCACATTGGATCCCCCACACCCCAGATGACCCCCCAACCCTGCTGGAGTGAGCTCTGAGTACAGAGCCAGGAGTAAGCCCTGTGCGCTGCTTGGGTGTGGCCCCCAAACAAAACCAGAACAAAAATTCAGATTCAGATGGGAGTACTCCACTGGGGTCCCTCTCCTTGCTTGAACTATGAACCCCTTGTGCCACTGACAGTGAGATTTTGATTGTGTGTGTGGGGGGGGAGGGGTGTGACACCCAGTGGTGCTCAAGGCTTACTCCTGGCTCCACCCTTAGGAATCACTCCTGGAGGGCCTAGGGGACCTTATGTGGTGCCAGACATGGAAACCTAGGTCGGCCACGAGTAAGGAAAGCGCCCTTCCTGCTGTACTGTTACTCCAGCCTTGGGCAGGGAGGTCTCTAAAACCTCAGTGCTTCCACAGCAAACAACCCAGAAATGAAGGCCCCCCCAAAGCCGGTGAACTCGGGCTCGTGGTACAGAAGTGCCCGTGCTCACTGCCTTGACCTAGGAGGCTGCTAGAATATTCTGGGCTGACCTGAATCTGGACTGATTCGAGAAAAACCTGCCTGAGACCACCTTGGGAGGAGACAGGGGGAGGGGGGGAGGAGAGTGAGCCTGGAGGGGGGCAGTTCGCACCGTTGTTGAGGTTGAAGAGAAAGCTGGACATGTATTTGTCATAGACCTTCCCCCGCCGGTCAGCCTCATCCTGAGAGATGAGCTGCAGAGAGAGAGAGAGGAGCAAGAAGCTGGGTGAGGCTGTCCACTGGGGGCACAGTGTCGTGACCCTGTGGAGTGGCATCACCTGGAGATGCTTACTGAGCACCCTGACGGGAGTCAGGAGAGAGCACTCGGCGACTCTGGTGGGCGGGCAGCCTCAGGGTGGCACCCCCCGCCCCCACTCCAGCCCTCATGGCAGAGCAGTTTCAGGATTACAAATCAGGCTGTGGGATCCCCCAGGAGGCCACATGAGAACTCAGCTGAGTTATTTAGAGATCAATTTGCAGGCGTCTGGCCCGCAGAAAATTGGGGTTTCTCGGTGGCGCTTCCCCAGAAACCCACGGGCCATGGTGCTCACCTCACCGCAGTACTCAGAAATGAATTCGTTCTTCTGCACCGACTCCTTGATGAAGGTGCCCCATCCGGCCACATCCGAGGGGGCCAGCAGCAGATGCTGGGGGGAGAAGGGGAGTCACGCGGCTGTGAGGAAAGGGGACAAGCACTGGCCGTGCACGTGGGGCGGGGCAGGGTGGGGCCGGGGAGTGAGGGTGGAAGACCCAGAAACTGCAAAGAGGATCTGAAAACGTACGGAGGCCTAAGTTGACCTGTTCTGGCAGAAAGGAAAACAGGCAGGGGGTGGGAAAGAAAACTCGGGCCTCTTCCTCGAGGTGGGGAATTCACTGTCGTGCACGGGCCCAATAGAAACTGCCACCACCCAGGCTAGCACCTCCTCAGCTGTCTGCTGAGTCAGGCCAGCTCGAGGTGTCACTTTTAGGAGGGAGGTGGCGGGAGGGGGGGGTGCATACCCAGAGATGCGCAGGACTTACTCCTGGCTCTGTGCTCAGGGATCACTACTGGTAGGGCTTTGAGCAAGGTGAGTGCCCTGCCCACTGTGCCATCTCTGACCGCCCCCAGCCTGGGTCACTTCTCTAATCTCTCCCAGAAAACTCGATCAACTCCTTAAATGTCCGTCTTTTTATTTATTTTTGATTTTGGGACCATGCTTAGGGTTTACTCCTGGTTCGCTCCGTGCTCGGGGATTACTCCTGGCTATGCTCGGCAGGACCATATGGGGTGCCAAGGACTGAACCCGGGTTGGACATATGCAAGGCAAGGGCCCGATCTGCTGTCCTATCGCTCCAGCCCCAAATGTGAGTCTTTGACAGTTGGCCTTAACGTCCTTTCACGTCCACAGCTGGGGAGGACCAGGTGGGAAGAGGCTGCTTGCCTTGCAATGGGGCCCGTGTACCGAGAAATCCCCTCACCTTCTTGAGGCCCCGCTGGATGCTGCAGTTTTTGCAGGAAACCACTTTGCAGTCCCAGTGCTCGGAGGCGCCACAGGTGAGACACAGGTCAGGGTCACACTCCCGCACGGCCAGGTAGCAGGGACACTGCTTGGTGTTGCACTGCGTCTTACAGCGACAGCCAGGAAAGCGATTCTGGCCTGGGGGGAAAGGGGGGGCGGCAGGGGGGTGAGGAGAGGAAGCAGATGAAGACTGGAGGGGAGAGGGAACTTGACTGCAGGGAAGCCAAGAGAAGAAAAAGTAACAGTCGGGGCTGATCCCCAGAGAAGCCTCTTTCTCCGTACATTCTGGACCCAAGTGTCCTCTGGGAACAGACCAAGCGCCTCTCCACGTTCACGCCAAAGAGTGAGAACAGCAAAATCCGTTACTGAGATGTTTTCCCCATTGGGCTCTCCCTGCCCCATGGTGGTGGAACTCAGAAGGGAGGAGGCGGTGCCCCAGAAAAAATAAGATCTGTGCTTTTCACCAGATTGGACTGGAACGTAATGCAGAACCCAGCTTACAAACACATTTACACAGAAGGCTCAACTAGCATCGACGGCTTAACAAACCCTGACAAGGACTGAATGTCCCCAGGACGAGATAGAGACACCAGTCTCACAGGTTTTCCCTTACTGAAGTATTTTTTTAATAATTCATATTTAGTGGCAATAAGCAATATAAAATGAGTTATTTTGGGCTTGCGACAGGGGGCAGGCTTGAGGGGTGGTTGGGAAAATGGGGACAATGGTGATAGGAAGGTGATGGTGGTAGGGGGATAGGGATTGAAACAGTGAATGCCTGGAACATCATGAACAACTCAGTGACCACAGTGTTTAAACAAAGTGGGGGAAAAGAATCTGTGCTTTTGACTGGTTCATTCTCACTAACAAAACAACAGTCATTCTGAGAGTAGAGCGCATCCGCTCGGGGCCTCCCGCCTGCCCGCTCGGCACCCTCAGCCGAGGTCCAGATTGGTATCTGCCCGGGCGAGGGGCAGCTCCAGCACAGCCGCCTGCTGAGCACTGCAAGCTCTGCAGAGGCCGCTGACCTGCTCAGACTGCAGTGGGGCGGGCACGGGGAGTCCAGAGGAGAGGGGGAGTCCGGTCCAACCTGACCCTTGAATATCACAACCCAGTTCACAGTGAGCACGCTCAGAGTCGTGCCTAAGGAGGCTGGGAACGACAGCCTATGGGGTTGGGGGAAGAAAAGGAGGGTGTTGGAAGGGTGTGTGTGTGTGGGGGGGTGGATTTGACCCTGCAGCCACATGCTGTGTAATTCTTTTATCTTTTATTTCCTTTTCTTTTTTTTTTTTTTTGCTTCTTGGGTCACACCCAGTGATGCACAGGGGTTATTCCTGGCTATGAACTCAGGAATCACTCCTGGTGGTGGTCAGGGGACCACATGGGATGCTGTGAATCAAACCTGGGTCAGTCGCATGCAAGGCAAACTCTCTTCCTGCTGTACTATCACTGCAGCCCCTCCCTTTTCTATTTTCTGCTTGTTTGGGGGGTCATATGGGCAGTACTCAAGGATTACGTGTGGCTCTGACTCAGGGATCACCCCTGGTGGAGCTTGGCCGACCATATGTGGTGCAGGGGGGGATTTGGGAATTGAACTAGGGTTCATCACGGGCAAGACAAGTGCCCTGCCCACTGGATTATCTCTCCAGCCCCAACTGTTACTTTTAGATTCACGTACCTTAGACTGGTTTTTGATTTTTGTTTTCTTAAATAGGAATCACCGCCGCCCCCTCAGAAGTGCTCAAGGTGCTTGGCGTGTGCCCTACCCCCATGTTCGCTCCCCAGTGCTATCTTGGGATTTGGGAGAAATGTCCTTCCCAGATACCCGAGCCCTCATTTTCTCTGCAGAACGCTCTCGAGCACAGCGGAGAAGATGAGAAGGCCCATGGGCTGAGGCCCGGGAGGGAGGGTGGCGGGCGGGGGGTGGGTGGGGGAGGGCAGCCCACAGCTGGACCTTTCTTACAATCTGGGTTGCACTGGCAGAACTTCTCACAGAAATTCTGAGTCATGATGCAGGGGCAGGTGCTGTCGCAGGGCCGGTCTGGGTGATCGCAAGGCTGGTAGTTGTACACCTGCGTGGAGTTGTTGTCTAGGAGAGAGCAGAGAGGCGGCTTGGCCACACTGTGACCTGGAGGGCCACTGCTGGTGCCCACAGAGGAAGCAGTACCAGAGGGCGGTTGCTCATCGGCTCCAGAAATGGGGTGCTCTGCCTCGGGGCTGCCCAGGCTGCTGCTCTGAACAAAGCACAGAGTTCAGAAGCTGGCAGATGGCACTGTCGGGCAGTCGGAGGGCACGAGGCCCGGGGCTCTGCCTCCTGAGAGGTCTGCAGCGAGAAGCTGAGTGGATTCAGGCCCTGCAGAGGAAGCTATGATCTGCGGAGGCCCAGCTCGGTCAGCACATGCAGCTGCAAGCGGGCCGGAAGGAGGGCAGCGGGGCTAGGTCAGGGAGACTGACCTTTCTTCAGCTGGATTTTCCTGCAGTGCGCGGCCCACAGCCTGGAGGGGAGAAAGGGGGAGGGGCTTGGTCAGGAGGACAGGGCACACCCCCAAGGCCTTCCCAAGGAGCCAGAGGCCCTCTAGAATCCTGCTGGCTGGCCTAGCGGCCATGAATTGCCCACCGTCCCGAGAGAAAGAAAAGACGCAGAACAAGGCCCACCCTAGAGTGGGTCTATCACAGAGCAGCTTGCAAGGGGGTGGGGGGCGTCTGGGGGAGTTTCAAGATGAAGAGGTGGGAAGGAGTGTGAGTAATCTGCTCCGAGTGATGAAACTGAAAGGGAGAGGCTTGGGTGGGTGGGGGGCCTTCCCTTAATCTCTAAAACTGGGGTCAGTTCCTTCCTCCTACAGGGGGCCGGTCCTAGGGAACCAAGTTCTTCTGGGGTCCAGGGGGAGAGCACAGGGGGGAAAGGCACTGGCCTTGCATGCATCTGACCCAGGTTTGAGCTCCTGGAACTCTGGCACCACTGCGGTCTTGCTCCTGCCTACAGAGCTAGGACTACAGCTCCTGGGCACCCCTGAGTGTGGCTTAAACACCCCCGCCCCAATTCTGTTGGGGCCAGGTTTGCTGGCGGTGCTCAGCATGACATACGGTGAGCTAATCTAATCTGGGCCTCCTGCATGCAGAACACATGCTTCAGCCTCATAAGCCATCTCTCTGGACCAGAATATCACATTTTTTAAGAAAGTCCCAAGCCCTAGCAAAGGCTCACTAGTATACGTCGTTATTACTTAATTTCAAAATAAAAACAAATACCTCTGGTATTCTTTTCATTTTCATTTTGGAAACAAACCACCCAAAGGAAAGAAATGGCCTCAAGGTGAAGTCAAGAGGGAAATTCTTGGGGCAAGAACTATAGTACAACAAGGAAGGCACTTGCCTTTCATGTAGCCAACCTGGGTTTGATCCCGCACCCCTGATGGTCCCTGAATCCCACCAGGAGTGATTCCTGAGCACAGAGTCAGGAGTAAGTCCTGATCACTCCAGGTGTGCCCCCCCCAAAAAAAAAATAAAGAGAGGCTTACTCCTGGCTCCTACTGTCCAGGGGCTTAAATGGCCAGTAAAGTGACCAGAGTTTCTCATGGTCCATAGCATGTAGGGACGGGGAAGGCTGGTCTGCAGGGAGCCGAAGGACACTGGCCCAGGCTGCATAAGGCCAGGTTGAGGGGCAGTGGCTAAGGAGGGAGGCAGAGAGGAAGTCCACGGGGAAGTCAAACTCAGGGAAAACAGTGTGGTCACAGAAAGTCCTTTGCAAGAGGTTTAAATACAGGATCGGTGTGCCAGAAGCTCGGGTTCAAGTTCCAGCACTGCCAGTTCCCTGAGCACTGAGCCACTGTGACTAAAATAAAATAGCTGGGTTAGAGATTACACGGGAGATACCAAGATCACAGGCTTTGTGTGCAGGAAGCCTGGGCCTGAGCTCCCAGCCCTGCATGGGCCCCTGAGCATCCCAGGGAGAAGACCAGAGCACAGAGTCGGGAGCAGGTACAACCGCCACCTGCAGAAGGAGAAAGAGAAAGGGAGTCCTCAGTCCAACTCTGACCTGTGCTTTCTTTTCTTCTTCTGTGAGGGGTTCGTGAGTTCATCGGTTGGCAGTTTCAGGATCAAAGATTCTCTGACGGCAAACTGGAAGACCTGGGAGAGAACGCAGACAGCACCTGTCACTCCCCGAGCACTAGGCCACGACGGGCAGCCCAGTCATCCAGCCAGTGGCGGGCAGCCGACAGGCCAGTCAGGGAGGGCCACTGGGCTCTGAAGTGAAATTTTTTCAAACCTTTTTTTTTTTTAATGTTTTATTTTGGCAGAGCTGGGGGTTGAACTCAGAGACTCATACACATAAGCCCCGGGCTCTACTGCTGAGTCAAATCTCTGCCCACTATGGTTGTTTTCTCCCCTCAGCCCCTCCACATTCCCACTTTTTCTTCAGATGAGGCAATGTTGGTTTGTGCTTAGACTGTTAAGTGTGTTAGGGGTGTAATTTCGCATTTCTTCAAAATGAATGTGACCACCCTCTAACCCAAGTACCAGTATCTCTCCACCACAGTCCATTTAAAGGGGACTTCTCTGGGGTCACACCCAGCAGAATGAACCTGACTCCAGTCTCTCCTCTCTCCCCCTCCATACTCCTCCCTCCCACCACCCTTCTGTTTAGGTTTTTTGGGTCACACCCAGTGATGCTCAGAGCTTACTCCTGGTTCTGCACTCAGGGATCACTCCTGGCAGGCTCGGGGAATCATACAAGATGCTGGGGACAAACCCTGATTAGCTGCATGCAAGGCAAGCACCCTCCCCACTGTACAATCTCTGGGGCTACCAGTATCCAGTCCTTTGAGCATATCCCCAGCTCTAACGCTTCAGTGTCATCCTGATCATGAATCCTGAGCAGAGCTTTCCTGCACAGGAGCTTCCATCCACAACTCTTCCAACCAAATCCTAAAGTTCATTAGACCAACAATATCCTGTGTCTTCTCAGGAACCACAATATCCAGCCACTGTGGAACCAGCCGGAACCAGCAGCACAGCCCAATCATGGGCTGAGCTTTAGCTCCCTCTGCTGGTACAACGGTGACAGTGCCTTGGCTACGTGGGAAGGGCGGGTCAGGTCCCAGTCAACAGGCTGGTCTCACAGTGTTGTTGTTGGTTTTTTGTTGGGGGTGGGGTGGGGGGGGTTACTCCTGTCTCTGCACTCAGTAATTACTCCTGGTAGTGCTCAGGGGACCATATAGGATGCCGGGGATCGAACCCAGGTCATTGTGTGCAAGGCAAACGTTTGCCCTACCCACTGTACTATAGCTCCAGCCCAAGCGTTGTTTTTAAGGTCTTCCTTTCCTTTTTCAGTTCTAGGCCCTCCTGAGATTCCGTGAAAGTGATTAACATTCTCAGAATAAATGCCCACATGACAGGCTCTATGGACGCCTGGAGCTTCAGGTGTAGGCCCTGGACCTTGGGGAAACAGCATGTACTCCAGAGCACTTGGTCCCATTGTTTGCAGTGGTTAAAGGATGAAGAGGCGGCTTCGGGAGAGGGAAGGAGCCACGCAAGGATGGGTTAAGCTCTGGTCTCTGCTGTAGAACAGCCCAAAAATGGGCTTTCGGGGCTGTCGAGCTGGTCTGGCACTTGCCTCACGTTGCCTCACATGTGAGCCAAGAGCTCCCTGAACTAGGAGTAAGCCCCAAGCACAGTCAGGTGTGGCCCCCAAACCAGAAAATAAGGAAGTGGGCCAGCAAGACAGTACAGTGAGCAGGGCACCTACATTGTATGCCGTTAACCTGGATATGACCCTCAGCATCCCAAACGGTCCTCTGAGCACTACCAGGAGTAACCCCTGAGCATTGCCAGGTGTGACCCCAATCCAAAAAAAGAAAATTCAGGGGCTGGAGAGATAGCACAGCAGGTAGGGTGTTTGCCTTGCATGCAGCCGACCCGGGTTCAATTCCCAGCATCCCATATGGTCCCCTGAGCACTGCCAGGCGTAATTCCTGAGTGCAGAGCCAGGAGTAACCCCTGTGCATCGCCGGGTGTGACCCCCCCAAAAAAATTCATTAATAAAACCAATTTCCTGCCCTGTTCTTCAGCCTGTCTGCTTACTATGGGCTGATGCCCCCAGAGCATCTTGTGAAGACCACCCAGACATGATTCTGGCAATGGCCTAAGTGTAAAGGGTCTGGGTCAGGCACCAGGGTGGGAGATAAAGGCAATGAGGACACGGACGATGGGGTTTCTGCTGTGGGACCAGGAGCACTGCACAAGGAGGAAGAGAATGTCTGTGAGACCCTGAGCGAGGTCATCCCGAGAAAGGGGACCACACTCAGAGAAGCTGGCAGGAAGCCACAGAAGATGTCAGAGGAGTGTAGAAGCATCTGGAAGAGTCAGATAGTGGCGACTGACAGAATGAAGAATCCAGGGGCCAGGAGATGGCTCAGAGGGCTGGAGTGGGCACTCTGCAATGGGAGGCCTGGATCTGAGCCCCCCATGGTCTCTTCTAAGCCAGAAATGAACCCTGAGGGTAGGGGCCCAAAACAAGACATATAAAGAGAGAAAGAATTAAGCCAGGAGGCTACCACGTTTCCTGGCATGGCTAAGCTGGGCACCTGAGGGGTCCTCATATCTCAGGATCCACCCTCTGCTTGGCTCAGGAACACAGACGCTCAGAAGCTCGTAAGACACTTGGGCAAGCAGAGGCTGGAAGAGCTGACTGCACCCTGGGTGGAAAGACCCTCACCAGGTCTTGGTACCTGCTTGCACGTCTTGGTCCCCAGGAGCCTGGCTATGGAGCAGAAGTTGTTGAAGTAAGTGCCATGGAAGACTCGAAAAAGGGATTCTTCGGCCCCCGTCCACTCCACAGGCTCGGAGGGTGCCTCAACAACACAGAGCTGGGGGGGCGCTGGGCTGGCCTTCTGCTTGGTGGGGGTCTGACAGCGGGAGTTAGCCTCTAGGAGAGAAAGGGGAACAGAAGATGGGTCCAGAGCTGCAGTCAGCGGGCTCAGCAGAACCTTTACTCTAAAGGGTGAAAAGGAGGGGCTAGAGCCACAGTACAGTGGGGAGAGAGCTTGCCTTACATGCAGCTAACCAGGGTTCAATCCCCAGCATCCCGTATGTCTCCGAAGCCCGCTAGAAAGTTTTTGAGTGTAGAGCCAGGAGTAACCCCTGAGCATCTCCAGGTAGAGCTCAAAAAAACCCCAAACTCCAATAAAGTGGAATGGGGAGTTCAGAAAGACAATACAGTGAGTAAGGGGCTTGTCTTAAATGCAGCCAACCCAGGTTCGATCCCCGGCACCCCATATGGTCCTCCTCCGATCCCTGCCAGGAGTGCCCTGAGCACAGAGCCAGGGGTAAGCTCTGAGCACTGCAGGGTGAGGAAAGAAAAAAAAAAAGAAAGGCTGAACAGAAAGGAAGAAAACTATTCCCCGTCTCCACTGCTCAGAGGTGCAAAGGTGCGGAATGCATTCATTTGATAAAGGTGGTAAGGATGTTAATAGGTAGTGATTCTGGGTTTCCCAGTCTGTGCATGGAAAGAGACAATCCTTTCTGACTCACTGTACCTGAAGAGCTGGAGGCCCAGTCGTTGCCCGTGTCCCTGTCGCTGTCCCCTTCTTTAGTCTCTGCAACAGCAGAGGCTGAAGTGTTGGAGCAGGAGGCACTGACCACGTGGTGCCTTCTCCGGCGACGACCAGAGCACTTGGAGCGAGGGTTGTGGAGCATGGCGTACTCCTTAGCTCCTTCCTGCCGCGGATAAGGCAAAGACAGGAAGAAGGAATGAGCCCAGGATCACGGGAGCCGTCTTGGGTTCGCAACCAGACGTCTTAACAGGCACTGCGCTTTATCTCTTGGCGCTAGGCCACAAGTGTGAACCAAATCACTGCTTAATCAGCATTCTAAAACGTACAACTGGGCTGTTCTATCATCATAAAATAGACACACACACACACACACACACACACACACACATTTTTTGGGTCACACCCGGCGATGCACAGGGGTTACTCCTGGCTCTGCAATCAGGAATTACTCCTGGCAAATGCCCTACCCACTGTGGTATCGCTATCAGCCCCTATATATATATTTTTTCAATATCTGGCATCCCACATGATCCCCCAGTTGCCATCATAAGTGATCCCCTGAGCACAGATCTAGGTGTAACCCCTGAGCACTGCTGCATGTGGCCCCCAAACAAAAAGCCTCATAATACAATTAGGACAATTAAAAAATGAAATAAAGGGTTTTTTTGGTGTGTGTGTGTGTGTGTGTGTGTGTGTGTGTGTGTGTTACAAGGGATCTTACACTAGGCCACATCCTTGTCCCAGAGTCTATTTATTTTTTTTATCTTACTACACGAAACATTCTCCAAATGCAAACCCAACAACATTCCTAACCATCCTTTGTGCTATTGTCTCACTAAAGATGATCCCAAGGACAACTGGCTTTATAACCTGATTTTAATTGTCAGCGGAAATTTGATCAAGTTGTTACATTCTTTACCTCAGTTCTTTCTATTTAGGCAGAAAGCAAAATTAGGTTTCTGTCCAGTCCACTTTACCTATTCTTGTCTAGTTTTCAACCTTCCACAAAATGTAGGAGAACCTATGCTGTCACCAAAGGTCTATCCATCGGGGGGAATGGCCCATCTAGGGAATCGCCTCATAACAGATGTCAATATTTGTTTGTTTGGTTTCTGGCCACTCCCAGCAGTGCTCAGGGACCTTGTGTAGTGCTGGGGATCAAATGCAGGTTGGCCAAGTGCAAGGCCTGACCTGCTGCACTATCACTCCAGCCCCTGTTTCGTTCTGCTTTTGAACCACGCCTGGTGGGGCTTAGGGATCACTCCTGGAAGGACTCAGGCACCGTAAGGAGTGTCAGGAATAAAACCAGGGTCAGTAATGTGCAAGGCCAAGCGCGTTACCCACTGTACCATCTCTCCAGCTCCAAACATCAACACGTTTACTAAAGTCCCTTCACAGTCACATTCACAGAAAGGAAGACAGCAGGGGGTTGGACACACACATACAAGCACAATGCTCTGATCTAACTAGTACAGTTCCAGACTCTGAAATCTGAAGAGATGATCCGGAGATCACTCCTAAAACCTCACTCTGGAGACTGACAGTCCCTGTGTGGGAGTCCTATCACCCTTCACCCAGGAATTCCTTTAAGAGCAGAAAGCAAGTTCCATTGCACAGTTCAGGTCCTCTGGGGCTGGGCCGGCTCCTCCGCTCAGGCCATCAGGGGCAGAAAGCCCAAGGATCATTTCCTGGTCAACTCTAAGCAAAGTCAACCTGGGCAGAGCAGCTTGGGAACATACCAGCAGGAGGAAGCAGTCTGTGCCACAGGGTTCCGGTTCGATCTTGATTTCTTTGTTCCTGCGTTTATATACATTAGGGGTGGCATGAAAAGCTGGAAAACACAAAACTGTTCTGTTTCCAATGGTTCGTCCACTGGACGGGACGGAGAGGAGCGACGGTAAATCAGGGAGTGGTGGGGGGGAACTAGCTGGAACAAGCTACCGTGAGGGGAACGCAGGAAAGGCACCACTGCTGACACCCAACGTGCTTCTTAATACAGCTCTGGGGGACTGAGAGGGCAACTAACTATGCTGCTAGTCTGTCCTGCCCGTGCCAAGCACGCTGCCCTTGAACCTAACAGGCTGGCCTGGTAAAACCACCATGGGAGCAGCGGCCAGGAACCCTAGGGGACAAACTAAAATAAGGAGAAGAGAAGGAGGAGGTGGCGGGGCCCAGGGATGCGGGGAGCCCGGGGGACTGGGCAGCCCCAGAAGGCAGGGGCGGGGGGAAGCTGGGAGGGGTCTCCCAGCCACACTCACGGTGGAGGAAGCAGTCATATCTGAAGCAGCGACGGCAGAAGAGCGTGTGGAAGGAGTGTAGCGACTGCTCCCGCTGCACAGACTTGGCGTTGGGGCCATCAATGTTGGGCGTGCACTGGGGGGGAAGAGCGTTGGGGTCCGACATCTCGGTGAGCTCTCGGTACCTGGTTCAGAACAGACAGATGAGAATTCTGTCCAAGTTCCACCGAGGGAAAAACAAACAAACAAACAGGAAAACGCAGGCTGAGCTCACTGACAAGTCACCGAGGTAGTCAGCCAAGGGAAGACATGGTTGGTTGGTTCTGGTTTTACTTTTTTTAGTGGGTCTTGATATAATAATCTCATTATCTTGATATAATAATCTGAGTCTCTAACCAGATTAGGCTGGACTGGCACATTTTTTTTTTTTTGGCTTTTTGGGTCACACCTGGCGATACATGGGTGTTACTCCTGGCTTTTACACTCAGGAATTACTCCAGGCAGTGCTCAGGGGACCATATGCTGGGAACCAAACCCAGGTCGAGTACATGGAAGGCAAAAGCCCTCCCCGCTATATTATCACTCCAGCCCCAATCAGTACATTTCAACAGCAAGGGGGAAGGAAAGATTGGTTAAGTAGCTCTCCAGAAAAATGGCAGAATTTGAAAACCTCTCTGTACAGCTTCACTCAGAAACCAGCACATAAGAACTCTTAATATGGCAAAGGGCGTTTAGAGCAAGAAATGATCAGAAGTATAGGTGATCCAAATGCACTTGCTATGAACCAGGCTTTCTCCTTACTGTGCACGGGCTTAAGAAGTCTACTGTCTGAGTGCTCTGGGTGGGAGGGGTGGGGGGGGAGGGGAAGTTCCCTACCTCTCCTTCATGTCATCCGGGACGCCATTCTCAGGGAACATCGAGGCAATTGCACTGAAGATCATGTCATTTGGGAACTGTTTTTTCGAACTCTTTTTGTTGCCTAAATTGGAAATGACAAAAACAAGCAAACAAACAAAAAGAGCCCTCCTGGCAGAGTTCATGCCCAATTCAATCATCCTAATCAATGGCTGAATAAATAGCAATACTCCTACATTAAAAAAAAAGGGGGGCGCTCCTGAGTGCTATCATCAGAGCAGGCGGACAAAGCTGTCTGTCTCCTCCTGCCACAACACTTTCACTCGAGCTGTTCTGCTAACCCAACCGATGACCACTGAGGGGTATAAACAGGTCTGAATTCATCTATTAGGTTAGTAAGTAAGAAAATCAATCATTCACATATTGGTAACAAAACCCAAGGTCCAAGACAGGATCTAAAGATGTTTTCACAGGAGTATAGAAGAATTCTATCACAATGTTGACACTGAAGAAAAAGATTGGTGTTATTACTGTGTGACTGTGTGATTTTAAGAGGAACCTAGTAGAGGTCAGGACGAGAGCTCAGTGGAGAAGGTATCTGCCTTACATGCGGCAATCTGAGTTCAATCCTTGGCACCACATATGTTCCCCTGAGGCCCAGCCAGGAGGGGTCGCTGTGTGCCTCCCCCCCGATCAAAAAAAAAAAAAAAAACCAGATTCATCACTATATCCCTGGACAAATACCATAATGAAGTAACACAGAATAACAGAGTAGGCACATTCTCCACCCTGGAGATCCGCCCACATCTCTACCTGAGATGTGTCTTCTTGGCCTTTTCCCCTCTAGAGAAGCCCATATTCTCTTCTGAACATCTCTCTTTTTCCCACCTCATATTTCTCTAAGCAAATTTCGCTGAATAATACTATCTTACTTTGCTAAAAAAAAAATTATTTTAATATTAAAAACATGAAAACGTGTTCATGATAAAAGTATTAGGAACACATGACTATATTTTGTGTGTATGCGTACACACATATGTGGCCTAATCTTGATTTCATATAACATATAAAAAAAAGATGATTTATATATGTACTTAAAAACTGAGATATAGGAGCCTGAAACATAGTATAGTGGGTAAGCGGGTACAGGACAGTAAATGGGTCCACAAAAAATGAATAGAAAGGAACAACAAGGATTTTTTTATGTAAGTTTCTCTACTTTCTTCTTCAACTAGGTCATGGCTCTCTCAAACAGTTAATGATCATGGTCTCTCCCTTTTAAATGAACCAATGAGAAGCATCCACCAACTATTAATAAGCAAGAAGCCTTTTGGAGGGGGTTTGTTTTGTTTTGGGGCCACTGGCAATTCTTAAAGGTTACTCCTGGCTCTGTACTCAGGAATTACTCCAGGTGGTGCTCAGAGGACCATATGGGATGCCGGGGATCGAACCCTGGCTAGCCGTGTGCAAGGCAAGCACCTTACCCGCTGTACTAGCTCTCTGGCCCCAGAAAGGGACCTTTTTGTTTTTCCGTCCTTTCTCCCCATCACTTCCAAAGCAGAGTAACACTGTGGTGCTGCTTACTTTCTATCGCATGCCGTTTTCTTTTTCTCGTTACTGGCAGATCTTCTTTGCTGTCATCTTGTTTTCCATCTGAGGTGTCGTTGTGCCCTTCCTCCTCCTCATCCGAGTACTGATTCAGGGCATCAACCAGCTCCAGGAAAACAGCATCACTAATGAGGACAGATCCGGGGATCATTTCTGAAACAAGGATTGGAGAGGTGAACTGTGGTCATAAGGATTTTCTGCATTCACTCCTAAAGCTCAGATAAGCAATATACAGACACTTTATTTTACTTGTTTATTTTTTGTGTGTCACACCCAGAGATACACAGGGGTTCCTCCTAGCTCTGCACTCAGGAATCACCCCTGGCTGTGTTCATATGGGATGCTGGGAATCGAACCCGGTTCAGCTGCGTGCAAGGTAAACACCCTACCCGCTGTGCTATTGCTCCAGCCCCCGACAGACACTTTAATTTGGACAGACAATCAGTAAATTACAGTAATCTGATTGGAGGGCTGGAGTGATAGTACAATGGGTAGGCACTTGTCTTGCACCAGGCTGATCCAGGTTCGATTCCCGGCATCCCATATGGTCCCCCAAGCACTGCTAGGAGTGATCCCTGAGCATCGCCAGATCTGGGCCCCAAGCTAAAAATAATATACAAATCTGACTTGACTCTGACAACTACCACAGTTCAACTAGCTGGAGCACAAAATCCAGTTATATGCTTTGTTTTCACACAGTGGGGTTCTTCACTTCCTTAGTCACAAGTCAACCTGTACTTACAACCCAAAATCTCATAAAATTGTAAAAACAATATAAATGGGACAGAGAAAGAATGATAAGATGAAGACATTCTTGATTTTACAGCTGATGGATCAGTAAGGATTTATTTTTTAAAAAAAAGGTTGATATAAATTTCTTTTTTATTTTTTTGGCTGGCCTTTCCATCCCCACTCCACTCCCACACCCCCTGGATTTTTCTTAAAGCCATGCATGGGTTTATAAAAGTTAGGAAAATCTCTCTGAACGTTAGGGGGCACTGTGGGTAAATTTCATTTATAATTAAATAGAGCATTTCAATATCTTGGCGAGAGCCCCCGTGTTTGTCAAAGAACCGGTGCTGCCTTGGTTTATAGAGGGCTTCCCTCCCCACCTTCCTATTTCTTAGACACTGACAGCCTTTTCTAGAACAACAACTAACTCTAAAAGACTTGCTTTAGATATTATAACCAACTTCTGGGAGACGCAAGGGGATAGATACGAATCAAAGGAAGAGGAAAAGGAGGTTATGCTTGCCATGCTCAGAGTCAGGAAACCAAGAACACACAGGTCTTGGGGAAATTCATGAAAATTACAAAGACTAACCTCACTTGTATACTGAACATTCTCTCCGATTGCTGATTAATATCTAATCCCTTTATGTATCAATTCCTTCCAAAGTTAGCTGAATGGGTTTTTACTATAAAATGTTTAGTCTGACACTGGAGCGATAGTTCAGCAGGTAGGATGTTTGCTTTGCACGCGGCTGACCCAGGTTCAATCCCCGGCATCCCTTATGGTCCTCCGAGCACTGCCAGGAATGACTGCTGAGTGCAGAGCCAGGAGTAACCCATGAGCATTGCCGGGTGTAACCACCAAAAAAGCAAAACTAATAATATCTAAACAAAATAAAATGTTTAGTCTTACATAGGAGTACACAGAAACATTCCCCGGGGTACAAAATGAAATAGTAGATGGAAGCAAGGCCGTGAGATGCGAAAGCGGAGTTTCCCCCCGTGGGGCCAGCCCCAATACCTTCTTCACCATGAACCTTCCCATCATAGTTATTGATCAGCTCCTCGATGAAAGTCTCGTCTTCTTCTTTCACCTCGTCTCCCATGTAGGGAATATTACACAGCACGGTCTCATCTTCGACCTGCAATCAGACCAGACTGTGATTCACTCAGAAAACCACGAGGCTTCTCCTCTCTCCTGTCTTCCCTTCTCTCTCTCCAAACCAGGCACTGAACCACAGTCTTACACACGTGACCTGCATGTCCCACCACCAAGCAGCACCCCCCGTCCTTCTCTTTTTTTACTGAATGGGATTTTATGAAGCCCTTTTTGTGGTTTGAATCTTCTAAAAGTTCAGCCTCAGATTTTACTGCATTTAAAAGAATGGCCATTTTATTGTACCAAATAAAACGTCAAATGAAAAAGGGATAACACAAACACTAGAGAAAACAATATAAGTTAGTTTAACTACTAAAGGAGATGTGTGTGTGTGTGTTGGTGGTGGTGTTTGTTTGTTTTGGGTCACTTCTGGCAGTGTTCTGGGCTTACTCCTGGGTCTACACTCGGGGATCTCTTCTGGTGATACTCAGGGGACCATATGGGATGCTAGGGATAGAACCCAGGTCAGCTGTGAACAGAATAATGCCCAACCCTCTGTACTAGATTGATATTCTGGCCCCATTACTACTGGAGAATATAAACTGTCAATGTTCATCTTGAAATTGATAATTACATTTCTACCAACAATTAAAAATTGACAGTACATGTATTTTTCGCACTGACTTTTACTTTGGGGCTGGCCACACCCAGCAGTGCTCAAGGCTTACTCTTGACATACATGCTCAGTGACTATTAGGTGCCAGGGATTGAACCTGGGTTGGCCATATGCAAGGCAAGGGCCCTACCCACTGTACTATCTTTCTGGCCCCTCATACTCTCTTAGCTAATTTTATCCACAAAAGAATCACACACAGGGGGTATGGTGCTGCCAGCAGGTCAATCTGTACCTGTCAGGCAAGAGCCTGATGACACCGTCAGACTTTCAGATACCCCAAAACTACTGCTGCACCTTTGGCCAGACCCCAAAAACTTGGGGTAAAGTTTACTAAGAAAGTAGTTAGGTATGTGGGAGACACACCCACAAACCACCTCCGGCTCAGCTATATAATTGGAGGCATGCCCTCTCTGGTTCCTGATCGAACTGCTTAACAGTCATGATTCCAGAGACTCAGAAATGAATCTCGGAACCCAAAGGCTTTTGGCAGAAATGCATCCTGTTCCTGCAGTAGGTGACTGGCGCTGGGCGACTCCAGGGGGGAATAGGTTTCATGCCTTGGCCTGTTCTCCCTGGCGGCCCGGTGACCACCATCCTCCAGAGGTCACTGGACAGTCAGGTTTGGGCCTGCAGTGACGAGACACGCGGGGCCTCACCAGATGGGGGTAGAACCGGCCCTTTCTTCCCCATCCCAACAAGACCCCGAGTTGCCGCCTACAAACAGCCTCTCTGGCTCCTGATCAGGCTGATTAACAGCCATGATCCCAGAGACTCAGAAACAAATCTTGAAACCCAGCGGCTTTTGGCAGAAATGGATCTGGACCACATACAAGGTGGCCGCTGCCTCAGAGCTTATTGGAAAGCCAGGTATGAGCCAGCAGTGATGGGGCAATTGCAATCTCATAGGAAGGGGGACGGTACCGGCTGGTCCTTCACACCCTACCGAGGTCATGAGTTGTCCCCCACGAGTGGCTCTCTGGCACAGCCATAATACCAAACACACAAAAACCAATCTTGTAATTATCCGGCTCTTTGCAGAAATCCAAAATCGTGCGGCCGGAATAGCGGCTGCATGACATTACATGATTCTCATAACCAGCTATAGAAAACAAAGTATTTCACAATGCCTTTTCAGCAATTCTGATTGTTGGGGGGAAAATTCTAAACAATAATGGTGCATATTTTCTCGAAATAATGAATGTAATCAATGTAGAGAAGAGTTAGGCAGAAATCATATGCCTCACAGGCATTGGGAAGGGTTAGAGGGGGGTATATTGGGGTTCTTGGTGGTGAAAAATGAGTACTGGTGAAAGGAAAGGTGTTTATTCATTGTATTACCGAGACTTAAACTTGAAAGCTTTGTAACTTTTCCCACAGTGATTCAATAAATAAATATAAGAAGGAAAAAAATAAATAAAATTATTGAAAAAAAAAAGTAAGGTGGAGTTCATGCCCAATTCAATCAGCTAATCAGTGGCTGAATGAATAGCAATACTCCTACATAAAAAACACACACACACACACACACAAAGACTATCTAAAATATCTTAATTCTAATTTCTTTTATAAGTAGAGACAGAAAAGTAAAAAGCGAGGCTTCCAAAAATATAATCTACAATATAACTAGAATAACTAGAATATTTTGAATAGAAAATGGACAACCTAAAACTTTGGCAGTCCTAAAACTAGATATTCTGTTATACAAACTAAAGCCAGCTTCCTATAATAATAATAACAAATTATGATAAAAAAAATCCATGGAAGCAGTAAGGCTTTTGCCTTATACAGTACCTACACCCCAGAAGGGCATATGGTCCCCCAAGCTCCACCGGGAGTAACCCCTGAGCACAACAAAGCTAGGTGTAAGCACCATAGGATTATGGCCTAAAAAAACAAAAACTAACAAATCAATAGGAGCCTAAAGTCAACTGCCACACATACTATATTTCTGGCCATAAGCAATACTGATGGAATTTTTTTTTTTTTTGGTAGAAGGGGGTTAAGTGAGAATTTGGACATTCTTAAATTCCCAAATATCAAGTAAAACTACTTGGAAATTTAAGAAAAGATATCCTGGGGGGTGAATGGGGAGGGCAGAGCAATAAGACAACAGGTAGGGTGTTTGCCTTGCACGTGGCTGACCAAGTTCAATCCCTGGCACCTCATTTAGTCCCCTGAGCCCATCAGGAAAAGATATCCTGGGGCCGGAGAGATAGCGCAGCAGGTAAGGTGCTCGCCTTACAGGAGCTGGACTGGCTTCAACCCTAGGCACCCCTTGAGCCCTGCCAGGAGTGATCCCTGAGCACAGACCCAGGAGTAAGTCTTAAGTACTGCTAGGTATAATGCTCCCCTCAGAAAAAAAGAGGAAAAAAAGATATCCTTCTCTTTAAAGGATATAATCCATATTCCAATCATCAGAAATGCTGTCTCTCTATAAGCACAAGATAAGAAGGGTGGTAGTTAAGAAGACTGATCAAAACCACAAATAAGCATAGCAGGGTCAGAAGGAAGATCCAGACCCTGGAGATCAGAAGGGAGGTGGGTACTTTATCACCTCTGTTATCAGCTTTGTTATCTTACTGGCCTTGTAAAATCAAGTCTTTAAAAAAAAAATCAAGGAAATTTATAACTGCTTTAGGCTGGGGATAGGTCAGTGGCAAAAGTACCTTTAAACAAACAAACAAACAAAAAAGTACCTTGTGGGTCCTGTATAAGGCAACTTCCATAGATTTTTTTCATTGTAGTTTGTGATTATGATTATAGGAAGCTGACTTTAGTTTGTATAATAATCTAGTTTTAGGATTACCAAAGCTGTAGGCTGCTTAGTTTCTATTCTAAATATTCTAGTTATAGTGCAGATTATTTTTTTTTTGGGGGGGGAACCTTGCTATCCCGAGGCCCATGAGGCTTTGAGTTCAATCCCAGAACCACCTACACATCTGAGCAGAATGCCAGGAGCTCTGCTGCTCATGCTCCTGGGAGCCACGGGAACTGTGCAAACTCCAGAGCACTGCAACCATCATTTGTGGACACCAACAACTAAGAAGCGTGGGGGGGTAGGGGTGCAAGAGGGGGAAGGGAGAAGGGGAGGGAAGAAGGGAAGGAGGGGGGAAGGACGGAGGACAAAAGGAAGGGAAAGGAAGGGGAAAGCAAGCAGGCAGGGAGGCAGCTGAAGCAGGAGGGAGCAAGGAGGGGTCTGTCAGCAGGGAGTTGTCAAACTACTTGTCTCAAGTGCTCCCCCAACCCACTTTTATTTTTTAAAGCCACACCAATGCTCAGGGGTTACTCCTGGCAGGCTTGGGGAACCATATGGGTTGCTAGAGATCAAACCCAGGTCGGCCACACACAAGGCAAGTGCCCTCTCCGCTGTACTAGCAGCCCCAGAAGTGTTTCATTTTGACTGCATTTAACTGCAGACGTGTTACAGAACTGAGCCAAGGCAGGAAGGCCAAATCAGAATTCCTCCCAGTGCCATTCATGCAAAAAAGATGCAGCCTCAGCTCAGTAAGTACACTTAGGGGCAGAGACAAAATCTGACAAGCTAGAACAATCTGCAATGTGTTACAGATTTAGAGCAAACTGTATTAACTCTCTGCCCTGTGTGTCTCTGCTTTGTTACGTGACCTTGGGGCTGGAGCAAGAGTACAGAGGGCAGGGCATTTGTGGATGACCCGGGTTTGATCCCCGGCATCCCATATGGTGCCTCGAGCACTATCAGGAGTAACAGAGCCATTGAGTGCAGAGCCAGGAGTAACTTCTGAGCATCTCTCTTGAATTTTACCACACACACAAAAAGTAACTGACCACATGTGACCTTAAGAGGCCTGCAAGTGTAAAACCAGCCATATTTTTATTTTACTATTTGGGGGTGGAGGGAGCTAGAATCTCCCAAGTAAAGCCCAGGAGGCCCAGAGAAGTTCTGGGTCAACTGTGGACGGGCCCAGGCTACGATGCTCTTCTGTGACACTACCCCAGGGGGAAACAGGGCCCCTCCTGGGCCACACCCTACAGAACTCAGGGTGCACCCAACAATTCTCTGGTGACTATGTGGTGCCCAAGGTCAAACTGGCATGTGCCTTAATTCCTGTACTATTATTTTTGGTTTTGTTTTTGTTTGGGGGCTACATCCAGCCATGTAAGGGGTTACATCCAGCCATTTAAGGGGTTATTTCTGTCTCTGTACTCAGGAATCACTACTGGCAGTGCTCAGAAGATCATATGGGATGCCGGGGATGGAACCCAGGTCAGTTGCCTGCAGGGCAACCACCCTATCTGCTATATGATAGCTCCAGCCCCCCTTTCCAGCCTTTTGTTTTATTTGCTGGTGGGAGTACAACTGATGGTACTCACGGTTTCCTCCCAAAGCGTCCAGGGGACCATGTATGACAGGGATTGGACCTGGACCTACCACTGGGAAAGCACATGCTCTAGCCTAGCCCCAAATCATCCCATTGAAACAATTCCCAAAGTATTTTCAATACATACCATAAAGTTCTGCTGGAGAGGGGACCAGGAATACATGATGGGAACCAAGGCGACAGTATTCAGAGACCTCATTAACATATGTTGACTTGCAAAGCCCGGGAAAATGCTCTCTATGGTACACTGAAAGATAAACAGCGACAAGGAGAAGGGGAGGCAAGCAGACAACCCAAGAGAGAAACTCACTTTCCTTCTAAACTGATCCAAAGTGGGACTCGAGCGCTAGTACAACGGATAGGAGGCCAAAAGGCCAAAAACACAAAACCAAAAAAACAAACAGCTAAACTGATCCAAATAGCTCTCTAGTTCTTACAAAGAAAGTGGCTGAGGCTTTTGTAGCGATCACTCCCACAAGGTCCTATTTGACTATAACCCCACAGGAAGCAGACTTGACTCCATATTCACCCATCCTCTAACCTCCCACACTCAACTTTGGCCTATCTATTTGTTCTGGTTTGGGGCCACGCCAGGCTATGCTAGGGGTTACCGTTCCTGGCTGTGTCCTCAAGGGCTGCTCCCAGTGGTGCTCAGGGAACCTTGCAAGGCCGAGGATGAAGCCACGTGCAAAGCCCACACTTCAATCTGTTGAACAGCATCTCTCTGGGCCCTGAGGATGCTTACTTCTCTTACTTTTTAGAGTGTCAGGGATCAAATCTAAGGCCTGTCACACATTTGAGGCAAGCATTCTACCACTTTTTTAAGGCATGATGGACTGAAAACGTGACTGAAGTGGTAGAGCACCTGCCTTTCACATTCAAGGCCCCGGGTTATATCCGCAGAGTGGTGTGGACCCAGAAAACCAACCAACCAGCAACCCTGTCCTCACCAGTGCTGAGTGGGCCTTTTATTATTTGGGGCCGCAGCATGCAGTGCTCAGGGCTTAATCTAAGATCTGTGCTCAGGGATCACTGCTGGCAGGACTCGGGGGCATATGGGGTGCCGGGGATCGAACCCAGGTTCGCCACATGCAAAGCAAGTACTTTACCCACTGTACTATCTCTTTGGCCGCTTAAAAAAGCATTTTTATAACTCAAAAGAAAAAGGTGGGGGGGATGTGGCGCGATACCACACAGGCAGGGCATTCGCCTTGCACGCGGCCGACCCGGGTTCTATTGCCAGCATCCCATTCGGTCCCCTGAGCACCGCCAGGAGTAATTCCTGAGTACGAAGCCAGGAGTGACCCCTGTGCATCGCCAGGTGTGACCCAAAAAGAAAAAAAGTTTTTTTTAGTTTTCGGTTCACACCCCTGTTCCTCAAACCATGCTCATAGATCATTACCCGTGGTGCTCAGGAGGCCCTGTGGGGCCAGGGCTTACCCCCGGAGCCTTCTGTATGCAGAGCAAGCACTCCAGCCTGTGGAGCCAGTCATCTCCCTGGCCTGGTTTGTCCTAAGGGTCACACCTTGTGGTGTTTAGGGCTTACTCCTGGTTCTGCGCTCAGAGGGGTCACTCTTGGTGGTGCTCAGGGGACCATACAGAGGTGCCAGGGATTGAACCCAGGTCAGCTGTGTGCAAGGCGAGCACCCTGCCTGCTGTGGTATCACTTCAGCCCCACTAAGTCCCACTATATTCCCTTTTTTTTTTGGTAAGGGGGAAAGCACAGCCAGCAGTGCGGGGGTGCAGGCCGGGGTGGGGAGAGGGGGGTGGGAACCCTTGCTCCCCAGGCTCTGCTGCATGCACTCCTGCCTGAGTCATCTTCCCGGCCCCAAGAGCTATTCCTTTGATCCAGGCACTCCTGTCCATTCTTCAGGGCATTCCTTTCCCCATATCAAAGTACCTGAGAAGTCCAACAAGAAAAGGCTGTTGTGGAACTTGAGCCCAGAGCCCAGGAGAGACAGGAAATGTCTTGTTTTCCTATGAAAACCTCAGGGATACTCATGAACTGAGAAGAACATTAGGTGGGACAGGTTATCTTTAAAGCTACAGATTTCAAGTTTTCAAAGTCAGGACTCTTAACGGCTGTCTCCACTCTCCTTGTTTTCCACTAAGTGACAGATAGAGACACAGAACACAACAAGCTAATAAGCGTGAGGATGAGAGGCGAGCTGAGTGTAAACACTTGGAAGTACCTTTTTGAGAAAAGGATGTCCACTCACAGGCTTCATCAACTGAACCGGCTGGACGCGGAGCTTCTTCCATTCCTCATTGAGGATCTGAGTCTTTTCCTGAACCTTAGCAAAATTTGCTACATATAGAGCCTAACAAAGTCAAGGGGAAAAATGGTTAGGATTTCAAGAAAGAAAGAAAAAAAATATCCAGGAGTAAGAGCGAGATCGGGATGGGCTGGGGCGTGCGCTTCGTACACAGGAGGCTGAGGTTCAATTTCTGACACTGCATGGTCCCCAGAGTGCCACTGGGAATGACTCCTGAGCTCGGAGCCACGAGTATCCCCTGAGCACTGCCAAGTATACCCCCAAAACAACAACAACGATAAGAAATCCAGGGACTTCGATGTGATTTAAGTGGTTGAGCACGTGGTCTGCCTATGTGAGGCCCTTGTTCCACCTTGGCATGACATAGCATCACCCCTAGCACTGGATGAATGCCCTGACAGCAAGAACAAAAAATCCAGGGCTGGAGATACAGTGCAGGAGTTAAGGCACTTGCTTTACAGCATCTAACCCCAGGACTGAGGGGTACCCCAAGCACAAAGTTGGATGTGGTTCAAAATGCAAAAAAACAAATAAGTCCACACTTGCTTGGTAGAAGGTTTTGCTTTGTTTTGGGGGGGAGGGTTTTTTTTAAATATACCTTTGCACCCATATTCGCCTGAAGCCGTTTGAGTTGTCGAAGTCGCATATATTCAGATTTGACTTTTCTTTTCCAGTAAGTGATACATTTGGAAGTTGGAGGATTTGGTATATCCATTTTGCTATATAATCTAAGCAAGAGAGACAGAGATGAGAAATAAACATTTCATTGCTCAGAAACATTCCTGAAATTTAAATGAACATGGTCAATTATGATTTAAGACCCGCGACATTTATAAAAAAAGATGCTATTTAAAGAACCCTAATCTATGGGGCCAGAGTGACGGTACAGCAGGTAGGGAGGGCACTTGTCTTGCACATGGCAGATCCTGGTTTGGTCCCCGGCACCCAATAAGGTCCCTGACCACCTCACCCTCACCCCTGAACATAGAGAGAGGATTAAGTCCTGAGCACCACCAAGTGTGGTCCAAAGTATAAAGAACCCTAGTCTAACAATACTTCCATTAAAAGACTTCACATCAGCAGCTCGAATCTGTTTACCTAAAGACAGCCTATGTCCTCTGCTCTTTTTTGTTTGAGAAACACAAATAAATTATGACGTCTGGCATCAAACCCAGGTCAGCCGAGTGCAGGGCAAGAGCCTGCCCATTTTATTCTCTCTGGCCCTGCTTTTTTGTGTTTGTTTGTTGGGGGTGTGGGGTGTGGAGGGGGAATACATGGCAATACTCAGTGGATACTCCCAGTTCAGTATGTTGTTGTTCGTCTTTCGGGGGGCAGGGAGGGGGGCCCACACCCAGTTGTGCTCAGGGCTTATTCCTGGCTCTGCACTAAGGGATCACTCCTGGCAGGCTCAGGGAACTGTATGAGGTGCCGGGGCTTGTCTATACTCTCTCTCTGGCCCCGGCTCAGTTCCTGAGGATGACTTCAGGTGGAGCCAAGGGCTGAACCTGCATCTCCTTCACACCAAAGCCTGTGTTCGGACAGAAGAGCTCTCTGGGGCCCATTCGATGAGAACACTCAAGAAATGCTCTCACAGACATTAGGAACCTGGATCCCCTGAGGGTCTGGATGCCTACTCAGCCCCTCAAAAGCAATGTTCAGCAAGAATCAACAGCTAAGGGTTTCATGGAAAGATCCACCCACACCACAAAACCCTATCTGCCACATTATCTACATCAGCCGCATGACGGGAAACAAAGGTCAAATATGACAAGTGCCATTTCCAAGGATGCACCAAGTGGAAGTGAAGTGAAAGCCACTTTTCTTTTTTTCCTTTCGGTATTTGAACTGCAGCTCAAAGTTTTGAAGAAGTAATTATAATTCACTCCACCTACCTCCAGGAGTACAGCAGTGTCAGGTTTTATGATATGCCTTCTGTTCTTCAGGCGAATAGCAAGACACAAAAGGAAAGAAGAAAACAGTTTAGGTACTCAAAAAGAGAAGAGAAAGCGATTTCATTAAGTCTGTGAAGCATATTCAGGTCCTGGTATCCCCGTGGGGGCGTGCACCCTGCCAAATCGTGAGCTGAGGTCCTCATCTGCCCCATTATTTCCACAGATGAGGCTCTGGAAACACTCTGTGTCACTTGAGAAGGGGTCAGTGATTTTACTGAATTGTACCCTTCGGGCTGGCGTGCATGCTTGGTAAGCTGGAACAGAAAGGTGTTTTTCCTTTAGGGGAAGGGAATTTGAGGCCATGCCTATTGATTCTCAGGACTTATTCCTGCCTCTGTGCTCAGGGATCACACCTGGCAGGGCTGGGGGGGGGGGGGGCAGGGACTACAGGTGCAACACGAAATTGAACCAGGGCAGCCGCTGTCCCATTATTCTGGGCCCCAGCATAGGTCTGCTCCCCAGCATTCCCTGGTCTAAAGGTAGCAACACCCAAGCACAGCTCTGGGAATGCCCTGAACACCCCTAGGTGTGGCCCCCAAACAAAATTAAGTAAAAAAAATAATAATAAAAATTAAGAGGATCAGGTAAATGGTTTAAAAGCCTGGACCACATACTTTGTATGTGGGAGCCCCCGTTTCAATCCCCAGCACCAACCAAATGGTTCTCTGAGCACCCAGGGGCCTTACCTCAAAGCACCGCAGGCCCACCCAAAACATGAAGAAATGAAAGGTGTAGGCCTTGTTTTCAAAATTTCCTTGAAAAATTACTTTTTTCTCAGGTTGAAGAGAAAGTACAGAGGTCAAAGCACTTCTGCACATGGCCAGCCCCTATGTGATCCCCGAACACTGCCAGGAGTGACTCCCAAGGGCAGAGTCAGGAGGAAGCCCCAAGCACTGCCAGGTGGTGCCCCAAAACAACACAATCACCTTTTTTTCTTGAAAATGTAGTATTTCATTTCTTCTAAAGAAGCTGCTTGAGGGATTGGAATGAGAGCGCAACAAACCATGTACAAAAGGTCTTAAGACGTCTTCTCCCCAACACCACATGGGAGCCACTGCGGGCAAGGCCTGAGCTCTGAGCACTGATCCGGGAGTAGCTCCCAAGTACCAGCAGCTGTGGTCCCCCAACAACAGGTAGCAGTATCAAAAAACAGATAGCCTCTTTCTTCCCCCCTTTAAAATGACGGCACAGGGGCTGGAGCAATAGCACAGCGGGTAGGGCGTTTGCCTTGCATGCGGCCGACCTGGGTTTGATTCCCAGCATCCCATATGGTTCCCTGAGCACTGCCAGGAGTAATTCCTGAGTGCAGAACCAGGAGTAAACCCTGTGCAACGCCAGGTGTGACCCAAAAAGCAAAAAAAAAAAAAAAAAAAGACGGCACAGACAAGGAAACAGATAAATTAACCCACTATCAGACATCAGCCACATTAGATCCTGATTAAAAAACATCTCACACAAGGACTCTACAAGGACAAAAAACAAAACCTGAACATTTCCCTGGAAGAGCTGCACGGACTGGGACTGGTGTAACGCATGTTTGATTTTGGAGGGGCCACATCCAGCAGTGCTCAGGGCTCCCCCCTGGTGGGCTCAGGGGACCGTATGTGGTGCTGGGGACCAAACCTGGGGGTTCCACAGTCTCGCACTCTCCCTGCTGTCCCACCACCCCTGCCCAGACACGTTCAATTTAGAGGATAAATAAAGGAAGGAAGGAATAGCAAAGGAGCAGGCAGGTTTTCTGTGTTTACTGTTAACTCAAGTGATTCAAGTCCGAAAATTCCCTATGAGTTAAACATTATCACTCTGAGGACAGGGAATGAAACAAAAACAAAATCTAAACAGGAGTTTGAATTCCAAAGAGCTAAGTACTAATTTTAAAAAAAAAATTAAAGGACCAGGGAGATCGCTCAAAAAAGGGGGTTGGAATTAATACTTTCTGTGCAATACCTATATGCAGTCTCTGGCATCACACCCTTCCCCAAGCACCAAGCCAGGAGTAGTCCCCGAACACGAACAGGGGTGACCCAAAATAAAACAGTTAAAAAATTAATCAGGGGCCAGAGCGACAGCACAGCAGGTAGGGTGTTTGCCTTGCACGTGGCCGACCTGGGTTCGATCCCCGGCATCCCATGTGGTCCCCTGAGCACTGCCAGGAGTAATTCCTGAGTGCAAAGCCAGGAGTAGCCCCTGAGCATTGCTGGGTGTGACCCAAAAAGGAAAAAAAAATATTAATCAGACCTAATCTTCCCCCTAAATACTGCATTTCATTCTCCTATTTTTTTTTTTTTTGATGGGGGCTGTCACACCAGGCGATGCTCAGGTGTTACTCCTGGCTCTGCACTAAGGAATTACTTCTGGTGGTGCTTGGGGGACCATATGGGATGCTGGGGATTGAACCCGGTTAAATCACATGCAAGGCAAACGCTCTCCCCGCTCTACTATTGCTCCAGCCCCTCTCCTATAGCTTTTAAATAATTCTTATTCCTCTATGAACTGAGCCAAAAGAGGGGACATTTGAATGATGAAACTAAGAACATAAAGGCCAGAGCGGGCCAGGCGCTTGCCTTGCATGCAGCTGATCTGTCCCTGGCATCCTATATGGTCCCCCAAGCACCGAGAGGAGTAATTCCTGAGCCAGGAGTCACTGTCAGGTGTCCCCAAAACAAGACCAAAGCAAACAGGAGCCTGCCCCTGGAGTAAGAGAGATAGTTCAAAGGTCTTTAAGTGAATATTTTGCAAGTGGGAGTCCCAGATTCAATCCTCTACACTGACACTCCCTCCTCCCTCCTCCAAGTATTAATTTAGCAGTAGCACGAGTACTACCAGGTATGCCCCCATCCCCCAAAAGTCAGTACAGGAACTGGAAAAAGGTGACTTAAATCTAGAATCAACGGCCTCCCTCTAATCTTAGCCTTATTAAGACCCAAATGTTAGGCCAGAGAAGAAGAAAAGTTGCTAGGTCTCTTACCTTGCACACTGCTGACCAGGGTTCAAGCCCTGCCAGGAGTGATTCCTGAGCACACAGCCAGGAGTAAGCCCTGAGCACAGCTAAGTCTGGTGCAAACTGCCCCTTTCCCTCAAAAAGACCCAAATGTTACATATTCAATGACACATAGTTACCGACCTAAAGTATGTGTATTTTCGTTTTAACTATAGTTTTGAATTTTGGGTTACACTCAACTGTACTTAGGGCTTACTCCTGGCTTTGCACTTAGGGATCACTCCTGGCAGTGGTTGAAGGATCTTATGGTGTGCTGGAGATCGAACCCGGGTCAGCTGTGTTAAAGGCAAGTGCCTACCCACGGTACTACTTCTCCTGTCCTGTAAACTATGGTCGTGAGGGACCTGGAAGGTACAACACATGCTTTGCACGCTGGGGCCTAAAATTCAATCCCTACCGCCACATAGGGTTCAATCCCTAAACTCCAGGTGTAACCCTCACCCCCCAGACCCCTGAAACAAAAACAAAATGTTTTGAACAGTAACCCCTCCACCATCCCAATTATTTTTGAGGGGTGGTTGGGACACGCACCTGGCAGTGCCTGGTGGGGAACATGCAACGCCAGGGCTCATGGGCGAGGCATGGACGTCAGTCTTCTGAGTTCTCTCTCTGACCTGCCAACCGAGTTCCTTTTGGAACTCAGTTCTCTTCTCCACCCACTTAAAATGGAGATCAGGTAATGGAAAATAACAAAACATGGGGCTGGAGCCACAGTACAACTGGAAGGGTACTTGACCCCATACCCCCAGCCCACCAGGAGTGATACCCTAAGGCAGAGCCAGAAGTAAGTCCTGAGCACCATCAGGTGTGGCCCCCAAACAAAAACAACAGAAAGTAACAATCCACAGCTGCGATCCCTGTGTGGAGATTTCTCAAGAGACTATCACAACAACATCAACATTTTTATTTAAGAAGTTGTAACTGACATATGATCTCTTCTACTCTTGTCAAAAGAAAAGACAGTATGGATACCACAAGAGGCTGACAATTCATAGCATCATTTTAAATTTTATCCAAGAGCCCTACTTGGGCAGGGGACTATTCATATATACACAAAAATCCTACTGACTTTTAGCCAACCTTGATATGTTGCACCACTTTTGTATATAATTAAAGTGATCTGTGAATCTTGTGCGACAAAGACATTTATTTTACTTGGCTCTTTAATGGGTCTGCGACGTCTTTAAAAGTGTATTTGGCAGCAGGTCAGTCCCCACAGAGCTTACGAGGGAGACAAGACAGACTGTTTCAAACAGATAAGCATGATTAAAACAAATACCTGAAACTCGGCCACAGATGGGCTCTCAGAGCGTCTGGATGCTAACCAACAACTATCACTGCAAAGATTTGAAAAATGCAAATAAACAAAAAACTCATCATTTACCAAAACCGACTTAGAGGAACATGGTTCATGCAGCTTGGGCAGTATACAAAAAACACTTGATCTCGGAGCTGGAGTGATAGCACAACAGGTACTATCTGCGTGCCTTGCACGCAGCCAACCCGGGTTCAATTCCCAGCATCCCATATGGTACCCCGAGCACTGCCAGGGGTAATTCCTGAGTGCAAAGCCAGGAGTAACCCCTGTGCATTGCCGGGTGTGACCCAAAAAGAAAAAAAAAAAAATTTGATCTCTACTACATATATTCTCCAGTTACCGACATATGCAAAACAGCATTTATATTCCAGTGACTACCAAGTCATCACTACTTAAGGACTTTTCATTAAGTTCACTTAAATGCTGGAAATACATTGTAAAATGTATACTATTTTGGTCAGGAAACTTTAAATTAGATCCTTTCGGACCTCTTACAACTCAAATAGACAAGCAACCAAATACAAAATGGACAATACTTTGAAATATGAAAGCACTGTAGCACTGTCCTCCTGTTGTTCATCGATTTGCTCCAGTAGGCCCAGTAACGTCTCCACTGTGAGACTTGTTACTGTGTTTGGCATATTGAATATGTCACGGGTAG